CCAAAGGACTTGAGCCATCTTCTACTGCTTTCCCAGGCCACAACAGAGAGCTGGATCGGAAGAGGAGCAGCCGGGACTAGAAGCCGGCACCCGTATGGGATACTGACACCGCAGGTGGAGGATTAACCTACACGCCATGGCGCCAGCCCCTATTTGGTTTTCAAACACTAAATTGCTAGTCTTTTTAGGAAGTTTGATTTTAATATTGTGCATTAATAAAAACTATGTGTCTTAGGAAAATGTTATATTTTTCTCTTAAATTCAAGGCAAAACATAATTTATTCTATTGAGACATAACAGAAGGCAATTCTGGGATAGCCTGTTAGCAAAACAGATTTGAAAAATTTAAGACAGTGTATGTATGACTAGACGTGAGATGTCTAGTACTATATTTTTAAGATTTTATTTATTTATTTGAGAGGTAGAGTTACAGATAAGAAAGAGAGAGAGAAAGAGAAAGGTCTTCCATCTGCTGGTTCACTCCCCAAATGGCCACAACGACCGGAACTTAGCGGCTTCAAAACCAGGAGCCAGGAGCTTCTTCTGGGTCTCCCAGGTGGGTGTAGGGGCCCAAGGATTTGGGCCACCCTCTACTGCTTGCCCAGGCCATAGCAGAGAGGAAGATCTGAGGAAGAGCAGCAGGGACTGGAACCAGTGCCCATATGGGATTCCAGTGCTGCGGGCGCAGGCTTAACCTACTATGCCACAGAGCCAGCTCCAGTACTATTTTGCATCATCACAAATGTTTTCTGTGGTTGAGATGTTTACCGTTTCTAGAAGTTCTACTTAATTTACTTACTTTTGGTGAATATTGTTTGTTTCAAATGTAAAAAATACTATAATGCTTAGAAATGTACAAGTAGCTGTGGATGCAAAATAGTTTAAAGCCCTATATGCCATTTATTAATAATTTTGATCTCTCCTTTCCATTTTTATGTTCTGAGATTGTCAGGACTGTTTTTATTTTGTTTAATTTTTAATGAGTAAAATTCTGCTAGTCTTCAAACTAGATTCTTCTGATTGCTAGTGAGGAAAACGTGTTCCTTCTTCCCAATCACTATTAAAAAGCATCAGTAAACTATTGTTTCTTCTTCCTCCTCCTCCTCTTCCTCCTCTTCCTCCTCTTCCTCTTCTTCTTCCTCTTCTTCCTCTTCTTCTTCTTCTTCTTCTTTTTAGATTTACTTATTTATTTGAGAGGAAGAGTTACAGAAGAGAGAAAGAGAGAGGTCTCCCATCCGCTGGTTCACTCCCCAAATGGCTGCAATGGCTGGAGCTGGGCTGATCCAAAGCCAGGAGCCAAGGGCTTCCTCTGGGTCCCCCACCCAGGTGCAGGATTCCAAGCACTTGCGCCATCCTCTACTGCTTTCCCAGGCCATAGTAGAGAGCTGGACTGGAAAAGGAGCAGCTGGGACACTACACGAACCGGTGCACATAGGGGCTGCCAGTGCCGCAGGCGGGGGCGTAACCTACTGTGCCACAGAGCTTGCCTCCTCTTATTTCTAATGGAGAAGTGTTGGAAGATACCAAGACTTCAGTGATTGAAGCCATGGCTTGTGAAAGAAACCTTTTAATCTCTATGCCATAATTCTGATGGGCTTTCTACCATTAATAGTGTATGTTCTTGATGCCAGTACTCAAAGGGGCAGTTACATTTTCTGAAAGGTAATAGGTGCATTCATTTAGATAATTTGCAGTATGGTAAAATGGTGAAGGTAAAGAATTAGGGGGGTATCCCCGTCACCTCTGCTGTGTAGATGGCTGATGCCCACTCTTCTGTCAGGATGTTTGTGTTTATGACATGAAAATTTATGATTTCTGAAAGGCTATGTGCATCAGTCCAAGATGAAATATTAATGAGGCTTAATTCTGCTGTAAGAGATTAATTAGTAGAATTTCTAATATTTTCCTCTCACAATCCACAGGATCATTTTGCCCGTTTTTTAGTTTATTGACATGAGATAAAGCACCCTACCGGCCGGCGCAGCAACTCACTAGGCTAATCCTCCGCCTAGTGGCGCCGGCACACCAGGTTCTAGTCCTGGTCGGGGCGCCGGATTCTGTCCCAGTTGCCCCTCTTCCAGGCCAGCTCTCTGCTGTGGCCAGGGAGTGCAGTGGAGGATGGTCCAGGTGCTTGGGCCCTGCACCCCATGGGAGACCAGGAAAAGCACCTGGCTCCTGGCTCCTGCCACCGGATCAGCGCAGTGCGCCGGCCACAGTGCGCCGGCCGCTGCGGCCATTGGAGGGTGAACCAACGGCAAAGGAAGACCTTTCTCTCTGTCTCTGTCTCTCTCACTGTCCACTCTGCCTGTGGAAAAAAACAACAACAACAACAACAAACAAACAAAAAAAAAACAAAAAAAAAAACACCCTACCACCGCTGCTAAACAAGTGAAAAAGAATCGAGAAATGGATTTTCTCCTAAGCCTTGGCAACATAACTCAAGAACTTTCACCTCAATAGCTCATTTTGATATAACATCAGTGCATATGATGGTTCTATTTCTGTATTCAAATAGAGTAAGTACTGGTAAGTAAAATCATCCAACACTAGGAACAGAGTCTGAAATTAGATTTAGTTGGCTGGTATTTATCACCGTGTGATGTTGACTACAAATCCTAGTATTTCAAAATTCAAGTCTTGATTTTGGTCTTTGTTTAAGACCTTTTGTGCTGGATCTTTGGAGCTACTGAGTCAATACTGTGGCCTCATTGTGTGCCAGGCATTTTACGCATTGTCAGAAACCAGGTCAGTCCTTTGTGAATCAGATTGATTTAAAAGGATAGTTCACTGGGGAGCACACAATTGTTTTGATGCGATTTGTTGCCAACATCCCTTTAACCAAGAATACAGACTATGGTTGGACTATTAGCTCCACCTGGTGGTGTCTCAAAGAAAAGCAGGTGAAGCTCAAAGTAGAGAAACGGAGTCTCTGTCACAACTTTGTAAAGGTGAGCAACTAGTTGTTTTCCTGAAACCCCAATCTGAGGACAGGAAAGTTAGTATATGTGAAACTGTCGAAAGTGAAGTCAGTGATTTTCAGTCATTGGAGAATGTATTTTAAAACAAAGAGAAATCACTTGGTAAGTTTATTCAAAATGCAGGTCCTTACACTCCATCCTGAAAATTTTTATTTAGTAGGTGGGGATAGCACCCACTTTCAATAGTCTTCACTTGGATAAAGACTCCTCAAAGTGCATTTAGGGGGGCCGGTGCTGTGGTACAGTGGGTAAAGCCACCGCCTGCAGCGCCAGCATCCCATTTAGGCGCCAATTCGAGTCCCGGCTGCTCCACTTCCGATCCAGCTCTCTGGCCTGGGAAAGCAGTAGAAGATGGCTCAAGTCCTTGGGTCCCTGCACCACGCAGGAGACCTGGAGGAAGCTCCTGGCTCCTGGCTTTGGATTGGCAAGGCACCTGCCACTGCGGCCAATTGAGGGGTGAACCTGTGGATGAAAGACCTCTCTCTTTGCGTCTCCTTCTCTCTGTGTAATTCTTACAAATAAATAAATCTTAGAAAGTGTATTTACTTATATTGTAGATGAGCCATTTCTCCACCCTAGTAGGAATTCAGCCTGTTTATCTGGAAGAATGACCACATAATGGAGGAAGCAGCTAATAATTGTGCAATCAAATGAAATTTCATTGACTACTGATTTACAAGGGGTATGAGGATACCTGGACTTGCCCCCAGCTCTGAGAGAAGCTCAGAACTATGTTAGCCAAGATGGAAGGCTCACTTTTATAAAATCTTTCTATTTTGAAATAATGACTTCTATTTTTAAGAGCCATCCATGACACAATACAGTTTTTACAGATATATCTTTTTCCTTTTCAAGGAGAATGTGATCTAAATATTCTCAAAGTATCTCTTGGCACTAACTTTTCATAATTCTAACTCCCTCCCCTCCTATAACATAAGGTTTAAATGTGAAGGTAATTATGTTTTAATTCACTGATATTATAAATATGATCCTGTAATTCATTAAGGAAATTATTTTTAATGACTTTAGGTTTTATCTAGTTAATAAAGAGGAATATTAGAAAGTAAGTTAATACTCATTAGGAACCTGGTATCAAGTGTAGGGCTAGACTTTTTTTATGCACAGTAAAATTAATACTGATACAACCACCTTGTAAAATTGTTTCTACAAGAGGGAATGAGGCTCAAGAGGTTCACTGATACATGTAGGCTCACACGGTTGTGTGGCATAGTAAGAAATATAGTTGGTCCTCATCCCAGATTCGTGACACAGAGCTCCTAAAACCCTAGGAATCTCCTGAGTGATGGGAGTGCTTTTTGTTACTCATAATATTCCCCTTTGGCTCACACTATTGTTTTTGCTAATGGTACTTAGGATGGGACTGCTCATCAGAAAGACCAAGTGATTGGAAGGTTGGAACTTTCAGCTCCATCCATGGACCTCTGGGAAAGGCGGTCTGGAGACCAAGCTGTATGAAAACTTCTGAGTTCTGGAGCACGGGAGGTAATGGGAGAGCAGCACACCGAGAGGGCCTGGGAACTCTGTGTCCCCACTCCCATTAGTTGATGTCTTGTCTAATGCATCTCTTCCATATGGATGTCCTGGTTGTAATCTCTGTTAACAGCTTGGTAAACACTAAGTGTTGCTCTGAGTTCTGTGAATTATTTTAGCAAATTATTGAACCTGAGAAGGGTTGAATAAATCTAATGTTTTGTGCTGAGTGTGAAAAACAGCTTGGCTTTTTCTCTCTTACATATTAAGTTAAAAAGAAGATTTAGACCATCCAGAGTACATGCTCTTTATAAATACTGCTTTCTATTACAATCTACAAATAAATCTAAAATAGTCAATTATATTAACCTTTTCTTAAAGTAAAATATCTTTGGCCAGAACTACTGAAAAGAGGAAAAGTAAAGTATTTTCTGGCCACTTTTCTGTCCTTGTTCAAATAATGTATATTCAAAAGGTGTGTAATGGATAATGGAGAAAATAAACTGATTAATGTACCATTAACTACATGACAACACTGCTTATGAACATTTTATTCACTTGAAAATAAATATTGTGCTGTGAAATTTTCCAGAACTAAAATCTGAAGCATACAGTAGTAAATACAATGGCTGGCCAGCACACTGTGTTTTATTAGGGTGAATCAATCTGAATCAAAGGATCATCAACTGTCCACACCAGATATACACTCTGGGAGAAAACATATGACAAAAAAGGAAAAAAAACAGATGAAAGTTCTGGGAAAGAAGCAACCTATTACAAATAAGAATCTCTTGAGATTAACAGTGAGGAAGAAAACTCCCAGTGAGGCTTTACGTTGTGCCCAATTTCCTAGTTTAATGCCTGGCAGAGAGCAGCTGCTATATAAAAATTTGTTGAAAGGATTTCAGGCACCATAATTTACACATTTTACATGGTTTCTCATTTAAACAACCTTCTGTCAATTTGTTTTTTCATTAGCTAGTTATATATAATTTACATAATTAATCTATAACTTAAAAGGTTTCAATAGATATGATTATGACATTTGACTAGGCTGGACTCTATATTGCTTGGATGAGATTTATTTTGGAATCACATTATTCAAGCAAAGAAAAAAATACAATCAGTTCATAACATACAACAAAAATGAAAAAAGTGAGACAAATGTCACCTTAAAAGTTTATCAATAACCTCTTATATACACATATACATTCACAAAGTGGTTGAGAGTCCTTTTATATGATCCTTTAGATGAGGTCCAATGGCTTAGAACTCTGTGAGACACATGGTCAGACAGAGATCTGACTTTCAGTGATCTCAGTTTCCTCCCCATTTTCATGTCCTTTAATTGGGGAGAGAAAGAAGTCCATTTTCATCTGCTGTATCTAAGATTTTACAGATCACTGGAGATTCAACCTAAAAAATAAACACAATAAAGCCATTAAAAAGTGCTAAGTTGAATTCTTGCTGCTGAACAAAGACATCTGCTAAATATATATGAGTCCTTGTTTTGGATAAACATCCAACATTATTTCTACAAATTCAAAGCTTTCTAAATAACAATTTTTTGTCATTGATAAAAAAATCATAGTTGTGAAATGGAACCCCCTTCCCTAATACCTTTGATGTGACTTCATTTTTATTTATATATTTTCTTTTTTTCTTTCTTTTAAATTTTTTGACAGACAGAGTTAGACAATGAGAGAGACAGAGAGAAAGGTCTTCCTTCCGTTGGTTCACTCCCCCAATGGCCGCTACAGCAAGCACGCTGTACCTATCCGAAGCCAGGAGCCAGGTGCTTCCTCCCGGTCTCCCATTTGGGTGCAGGGACCCAAGCACTTGGGCCATCCTCCACTACCTTCCCGGGCCACAGCAGAGAGCTGGACTGGAAGAGGAGCAACCAGGACTAGTACCTGGCACCCCAACTGGGACTAGAACTCAGGGTGCCAGCGCCGCAGGCGGAGGATTAGCCTAGTGAGCCACGGCACCGGCCTATATATTTTATTTCTTTAAAGATTTATTTTATTTGAAAGAGTTACAGAGAAAGGTAGAAAGAGGGTGGAGGCCTTCCATTCGCTGGTTTGCTCCCCAAATGGCTGGAGCTGAGGCAATCCAAAGCCAGGAGCCAGGAGCTTCCTTCTTCCACATCGGAGTAGGGGTCCAAGGACTTATGGCATCCTCCGCTGCTTTCAAAGGGAGCTGGATAGGAGTGGAGCAGCTGAGACTTGGACTGGTGCCCATACGGATGCCAGCGCCACAGGCCGGGGCTTTAACCTGTGTGCCACAGTGCCAGCCCTTATTTATATATCTAAAAGATGTATTTATTTGAAAGGCAGAGTGACAGAGAGAGACAGAGAGATCTTCTATCTGATGGTTCACTCCCTAAATAGCTGAATGGCTAGGGCTGGGCCAGGCTAAAGCCAGGAAACAAACTCAAACCAAGTCTCCCAGGTGGGTAGCAGGAGCCCAAGCACTTGGGCCATCTGCTGCTGCTTTCCCAGGCACATTACAGGGAGCTGGTTCAGAAGTGGAGCAGCCAGTACTAGAATTTGTGCTCTGGTATGGGATGTCAGCATCATAGAGGGTGGCTTAATATGTGGCGTCATCCACAATACCAGTACCTGATGTAGAATTTATCAGGGCCCAGTTTTTCTCCCTCAACTTGCTGTTCATTTGATGATTACAAATAAATTTCTTGCTAAATAACCCCTAAATTTAGGGAGTGGTTTAAGGGTCAGAGCAGCCCAAGACCCCAGTTCACAAAATTCAGAATTTAGTTGTTACCTTTATGGTTAACATCTTAATGCTAGACTATTCGGAGATACTTCATAGGAACTCCAGACCCTGATCAAAGCAATACCCAAAATACCTATTAGACCCCAGACAGACTGCAGCCCACCGTGTTATCATATAATTTTTTTAAGATTTAGTTTTATTTATTTGAAAGATAGAGTTAAATAGAAAGAGGGGAAGAGACTTTCATCCATTGGTTCACTCCTCAAATGGCCACAGTGATTGGGTCTGGGCCAGGCCACAGCCAGGAGCCTGGGAATTCCATCAGGATCTACCACGTGGGTAGCACCAGCCCAAGTACTTGGGCCATGATCTACTGCTTTCTCAGGTGCATTAGCAGGGAGCTGGTTTGGAAGTGGAACAGCTGGGATTCAAACCAGTGTTCATATGGGATGCCAGCATGGCAGGTGGCAGCTCAACCCACTGTACCACAATGCTGGCCCCATCACTGCATCTTCAAAAGAACACATCAGCTTCCCATTGCTGACCAATCAAAGGAAGATCACAGCACTATGAACCAACCAGAGACCCACACATGAGCCTATCATGCACTGTTCAAGTCCCACACTTCAATCTATGTGATCATCACCTTGTCTTTGGTGTAGCAGTTAAGATGCTGCTTGAGATATCTACATTCCATATCAGAGTCCCTAAGTTCAATTCCTAGCTCCACTTCTCAAAGAGCTTCTTGCTAATGTGCACCCTGGGCTCAAGTACTTGGGTCCCTTCCAGCCACATGGGAAATCCAGACTGAGTTCTAGGCTCCTGGCTTTTGCTTGGCACAGCCCTGGCTATTGCTAGCATTTGGGGAATGAATCAGAGAATGGAAGATCTCTGTCTCTCTGCCTTTCAAATAAATAAATACAAATAAAAGATTAAAAAAAAATCTACCACCCTTAATCAAGCCTTAGAAATTCTGAATTGAGTGACAGCTGCCCGATCTCTTGCTTTGCATACTGCAAAACAAACTCCTACTTTCTATTACCAACCCAGTGTCTGTCACTGATTAGCTGGACTTTTTTTAGAGTTAGATTTTTTCAAATGACTTAGATTTAATCATTGGAAGCAAACTAAATGGAAAGCTTACAATGGAGAAGAATTACTTATCAGTGTCTTAGTTAGATCTTAATAAAAATTATAGGTTGTAGCAACACAGTAAGCTGTATTCAATGTAAAAGGCAAAGAAAAATGTAACCCAAAGGTGGGCAAAATGTTGAAATGATCAGATATGATAATTATAATAAACATGAAGGAAAAGTAGGAAAGGCAGATAGCAAGTGTGACCAGACAAAGGAATTTCAGCAGAGAAAAGGAAAACATGAGAAAAGAACCAAATGGAAATTATTAGAGATGAAAAATCTATCAGAGATAAATTCCTTCAATGGACTGCACACAGCATAGAAAAGAACCAGTGTACTTGAAGACAAGAGAAATTACCTAAACTGAAACAAAGGGAAAAGAAAGTAGGGGAAAAAGAATCTGATATTTTGGAACAATTTCAATTTAACATGTTTAACTGTAATCTAAGAAACAAAGGAGAAAAACAAGCAAAGAAATCTTTGAGGAGATAATGGTCAAAAATGTTCCAAACTGATACATTATTTTGTTTGACAGGTAGAGTTAGACAGTGAGAGAGACAGAGAGAAAGGTCTTCCTTCCATTGGTTCACCCCCAAATGGCCGCTACGGCTGGCATGCTGCACCGATCCAAAGCCAGGAACCAGGTGCCTCCTCCTGGTCTCCCATGCGGGTGCAGGGCCCAAGGACCTGGGCCATCCTCCACTGCACTCCCGGGCCACAGCAGAGAGCTGGACTAGAAGAGGAGCAACTGGGACAGAATCTGGCGCCCATATGGGATGCCAGCGCCGCAGGCAGAAGATTAGGCAAGTGAGTCACGGCGCCGACCCCAAAACTGATACATTTTAAGCACCCACGAAATCAAGGAGCTCACTGATAAATACAGAGAAATAGTACAGTAAATACATAGAAAACCACATTTAGGCATTGCTACATCGAAGGCGGGATCATAAAGTCTAGAAAGAAACAAAGAAGAATATTTTAATGACTTGGGGTAACAAAAATTTCTTAGGACACAAGTAAATAAATATAGCTTTTTAAACAAACAGACTGACAATATCACATGTTGCTGAGGATGTGGAACAACTGGTCTCTTACACATTCCTGGCAGGAAAATAAAATGGTACTACCACTTTGGAGAAATCAAAATTCTGTGACTCAGCAGTTCTATTCCTATGCATTTATCCAAAGAAATGAAAACACTGGCCAGTGCTGTGGCTCACTAGGCTGATCCTCTGCCTGTGGTGCCGGCACACCGGGTTCTAGTCCCGGTTGGGGCGCCGGATTCTGTCCTGGTTGCTCCTCTTCCAGTCCAGCTCTCTGCTGTGGCCCGGGAAGGCAGTGGAGGATGGCCCAAGTGCTTGGGCCCTGCACCCGCATGGGAGACCAGGAGGAAGCGCTTGGCTCCTGGCTTCGGGGGGTGAACCAATGGAAGACCTTTCTCTCTTTCTCTCTCTCTCTAACTCTGCCTGTCCAAAAAAAAAAAAAAAAAAAAAAGAAATGAAAACACAAAAAGACTTAAAAATTCTTCACTGCAGCCTTATTCAGAGTAACCAGAAACAAACATCTAGATAAAAAAACAATATAAGAGCATATGTAGTATATTTATATAAAAACAATAGAAAGAAAACAAAGTACTGATACACGCAACAACATGGCTGAATCTCAAAAGCATGTTGAGTCAAAGAGTCCAGGCAAAGGGCCAGAGCCGTGGCGCAGCAGGTTAAGCCGCAGCCTGCAGTGCTGGCATCCAATATGGGTGCTGGTTCAAGCCCCGGCTGCTCCTTTTTCCTATCCAGATCCCTGGGAAAGCAGTGGAAGATGGCGCAAGTCCTTGGGCCCCTGTACCCATATTGGAGACCTCAAAGAAGCCCCTGGCTCCTGGCTTCGGCCTGGTCGAGCCCAGGCTGTTGTAGCCATTTGGGGAGTGAAGCAGGGCATAGAAAATCTCTGTCTTACCTCTCTCTATGTAACTCTTTCAAATAAATAAATAAATCTTTAAAAAAAAAGCAAGGCAAAAAATTGTATATTAATATCATTTCATTTGTGTGGCATCCAAAAAGAAGCAACACTACTCTATGATGTAAGACATCGGTAAGGGGTAATCTTGGGGAGGGGGTAAGGAATGTTTGCTAAAAAGGAGTATGAGACAGATACTTTATTTTGGGTATGTTATAAGGGTATTAAAATTGTCAAATACATCAGAGTCAACATTTAAGATATGTGCATTTTAGTTTACATAAATTATACATTTAAAAAACCATGTCAGCCTTTCAGAAGTGATATGGGGGCTATATTAAGTCATAGAGACAGATTACTGATGGTCCTTTCTAGACTTAATGCAAAAATTTAAAATGTAGACCAAGACCAAACTTTTGATTATTTTCCTTCTACTTACTCCAAGGATATATTGACAGGAGTGAGGTTCCAGCATATATACAGTAACAGCATGAGGAGAATCTGACTCCTTACACCTGAAAGATAGACACTGTAAGGGACTGCCCAGATCATACAGAGTAAGATTATTTTTAATAGTTTTCCTCTTAAGCTATAAAAATTCTATTTAAGTAGACCTTGTATATTTAATAAATAGCTCGATTATTCATAATTAATTTTAATTGTTCATAGGAAGCAGGTAAAAGAGAAAGACACATAGCATGATTTGAGGGCTCAACTCACTTTAGTTTTACAGTCACCTGTCTTGGTTTGTCAGTTATATCACAAATATCTCCATTTCCATAAAAATGGGACACCATCCTGAAAGAAACACACAAGCCTTATTAAACTAAGATATCACTAATTTAAAATAATTTCAACAGGGTGAGAAAATTGTTAACAGAAGTTAGTTTTGCATTAGTTAAAAACTGATTTTGGGGCTGGTGCTGTGGTGGAGCAGGTAAAGCTGATACCTGTAGTGCTGGCATCCCATATGGGCACTGGTTCAAGTCCCAGATGCTCCACTTCTTTTTTTTTTTTTTTTTTGACAGGCAGAGTGGACAGTGAGAGAGAGAGACAGAGAGAAAGGTCTTCCTTTTGCCATTGGTTCACCCTCCAATGGCCGCTGCGGCTGGCGTGCTGCAGCCGGCGCACCGCGCTGATCCGAAGCCAGGAGCCAGGTGCTTCTCCTGATCTCCCATGGGGTGCAGGGCCCAAGCACCTGGGCCATCCTCCACTGCACTCCCTGGCCACAGCAGAGAGCTGGACAGGAAGAGGAGCGACCAGGACAGAATCTGGCGCCCCAACCGGGACTAGAACCCGGTGTGCTGGCACCGCAGGCGGAGGATTAGCCTAGTGAGCCGCGGTGCCTGCCATGATGCTCCACTTCTAATACAGCTCCCTACTAGTATGCCTGGGAAGGCAGTGGAAGATGGCTCAAGTCCTTGGGCCTCTGTACCCATGTAGGAGACCCAGAAGAATCTCCTGGCTCCTGGCTTTGGCCTGGCCTAGTACTGGCTGTTGTGGCCATTTAGGGAGTGAACCAGCTGACAGAAGACTTCTCTCTCTGCCTCTGCATCTCTCTCTCTCTGTAACTCTGACTTTCAAATAAATAAATCTTTAAAAAAAAAACAAACTGATTTTAAAATATTCTTTAAAATATATATTTAAGGTTACATGGGAGTCTTTCAGATTGTATAGAGTATAAGTTAATGATGTTTTGTACTGGCTTAAAATTAATAATAAACTTGCATGTTATTTATTTGTATACAAATAGTTACGGTTGGATTTCTTTAAAAAAAGTTGTTTCAAAGTTATCTATTTCCCAAGTCTGGTACATTGTTTTATAGAATAACTTTGTTTTTGTCCTCCTTCTAGCTAACCTCATTAAAATAATGTGCTATAGAAGTACAAAATGCAAAACCTAGGTCAAGCTATAAAACTCAAATAAGCAGTATTCAAAGAAAAGCTTTAATTTTGCTAGTCTCACATTCCCATGCTTCAGTTGCACATGATGCCATAAACTATTTCCACATGACACATATATTTGGGGCTTTAAAAAGTTCATGGAGAATATGCATTAATGTTTAATCTCCATTTTCCATGAACTTTTGATGCTCCCCTGTATAAGTGTAAGAAAAATCAATCTGGGGATAGGCCTTTGGCTCAGAGTTTAAGTCACCACTTGGGGTACCTATATCCTGTATTAGAGTGCTTTGGTTCAAGTCCTGGCTCCGTTTCTGATCCAACTTCCTACTAACGTGCACTTTGGGAGGTAGCAGATGATAGGCTCAAGTACTTGGGTCTCTGCCACTGAAGTGGGAGACACAGATTGAATCCTGGGGTCCTGGTTTCAGCCTGGCCCAGCCTGGCTGTTTTGGACATTTGAGCAGTGAACCAGTGGGTGGGAAACTGGTCTCTTTCCTTCTCTACTTTTCAAATAAATAAAGATTTTAAAAAATTATTCTCTTTAGTGTATTATGATACCTAACTTTGATTTTGGTTAACCCAAAAAGTCAGCATATTCTGAAAACAATCTCCTCAATACCATCTGTTCTAGGAAGGACCAAGTTAACACTTGAGAAGGAACAAAAATGAATAATTTAAAATTCACTAGGCAAGAGAGCACTCTTGGGAGATGAGATTAAGTTACTTCTATTATAAAAAAATACACCCATATGGTCCAAAAGAAATGTGAAATCATTTTTTAAAAATATGTTCACAAAAAAAAGAAAAAACAAAATCAACAAAAAACTACTATTCAACTATTTTCAATCATTATGTCACAAAGGCTAAGTAACAAAGGGAAATGCACAGTACATTTAAATAGAATTAACTGAATTCTAAAGGTCATGATTACACATGAAAGAAGCAAATGTTTTAGACAGCTTTAGTTCCAACAGAGCTGAGTCTGTTGCTAACACCACAGCCACTACCATTGCTAAGGGCAGCAAAGTTTTTTGCAGGCCATTGCCAGGTATTGTTGTTTACATGAACTGTCTCATTTAAATGTCACAAGAATCCTATGAGGCAAATACATACAGATAAGAAAAGTGAGGCTTAAAAAAGGTTCTGTATTTTGTACAAAAGGCACAATTTGAATCCAAGCAGTCTGACTCCACAGTATGTTTTTACCTGTTACACTGTGTTACTTCCCCAGAAAACCAACCTAAAAGATGTCCCCTGAAAAAAAATTGTCCAGAGATTTTACTTAAGTGGTTCAATTTTTATGTTTTTCAATATTCTGAGCTTTACACATTCCATTCATCAAATTCAAAGGCAGATACAAGTTAACAGTTACCTGACTGTCTGGGTACCATCGTCTTGAAGATGATAGGCTCTAGCAGTATTCTTCTTGGCCCATTCAATATGCTCTTCTTGGTTCCACGTCCCTACAACCACAGAGGTTTTCCCACTGTCCTTGTCCTAATACATGAAAAAAGTATTTGTGGTAACTTATGCTTGCAACCACTCAACAGGCATTTATGCTGATGAACCGATCCTCTGCACACTGGTTAGCTACCTGGTAATGATGTTAGTTATACTCAACAAGTATTTTAATTCATTTTTTATTCCTTGTTTCTCTGAATGATGCAATTTCTAGTCAGGCTAGCTCTAGATGCAGTTATTTTTGACTCTTCTATTGCGTTTCTCTCATACATCTGTTAAGTCCTATCAGTTCTTTCCTGCAGATTTTTCTGACTTCACACTCTTCTGTAATTTCCATGTCAGCACCCCCAACTGCCAATCAAGAGTCTCTCTTTCATAACCTAGATAATACAACCACATACTACTGTGATTCTTAAACATCTGGCCTCGATGTCTGCTTTGGTTTGAATGTGTCACCTCCAAAAGCATGGCTGGAAACACAATCCCATTAAGTAGGACCTAATAGGATGTATTTAGGTCTGGAGGGCTCCATACTCATGAATAGATGAATACTGACTGTAAAAGGGCTTGAGGCTATGAGTTTAATCTCTTAACCCCTCTCACCTCCACCATGGGCTAATACAGCACAGCAGTCTTTACTAGATGCTGGCATTAGACTTTCCAGCCTCCAGAATATGAGAGGTCACTTTCTTTGCTTCATAAATTACCCAGTCTGTGGTGTTCTGTCATAGCAATGCAAAATGGACTATAACAATCTCTTACCCTGCTGCCTATCTTCCTCCTGCTTCTTTTTTTCTTTAAAAGCTAAAGCTTTATTTATTTGAAAGGCAGAGTTATAGAGAGGCAGACAGAGAAAGAGAGAGGTCTTCCATCCGTTGGTTCACTCCCCAGATGGCCACAACGGCCAGAGCTGTGCTGATCTGATGCCAGGAGCTACTAGGTCTCCCACGAGGGTGCAGGGGCCCAAGACTTGGGCCATCTTCTACTGCTTTCCCAGGCCATGCAGAGAACTGGATTGGAAGTGGAGCAGCTGGGACTTGAATCAGTGCCCATATGGGATACCGGCCCTGCAGGCAGCGGCTTTACCCACTATGTCACAGCACTGGCCCCCTCCTCCTACTTCTCTTTTAAATGAAAATTTTAAATGATCTTCACCTTGCTCGTGTGATACCATGCATACTTTTGTATCAAAATCATCTGTCCAGAGGCCAGCGTTTAGTCCAGCAGTTAGGGCTAAATGCTTGAATCCCAGATAGAAAAGCCTGGGTTTGACACCCAGCTCCATTCCTGACTCCAGCTTCCTGCTAATACAAATGCTGGGAGGCAACAGTGATGGTTCAAGTGATTGGGGTTCTGCTGCTCACATGGGAGAGCTGGACTGAGTTCCTGGCTTCTGATTTTGGCCTTGGCCCCTAGCCCTAGCCACTGTACCCATTCAGGGAGTGATCCAGCAGATGAGAGTTATTTATATAGCTTCTACCAAGAAACCCCATTCTGCTTTTGTAAATGGCATACTGTCTTACATGTGGACTTTCTTTCAATTCTCTCCTTCCTATCTCTTGCCTGCCTTCATTTCCTTTTATATTTTATGCTAGGCCAACCATGCTAGACACAAATATACGTCTCATTAGAATTAAAACCCCCTACAAAGGCAAATCAAACAGGCAGGGGCACTGGAATTTTTAGTCTAATGGCAGAGAAAGCTACTGAACATCTTTTCAGCAAGTAGACTGAAAGTTCTTAGATAAACAGGGATCACATAAGTGATTTTTTTAAAAACTCTTTTAAGATTTATTTATTTGAAAGGTGGTATGACAGAGAAAGATGTGGAGACGGAAAGACCTTCCACTTGCGGGCTTACTCCCCAAATGGCAGCAATAGCCAGGGTTGGAGTAAGAAACTCCTGGGCCATCATCTGCTGCTTTCTTAGGTGTATTAGCAGGGAGCTGGATGAGAAGTGGAGCAGCCAGGACTTGAACCGGTGTTCCCATGTGGGATGCGGATGTTACAAGTGGTGGCTTAATCTGTTGCGGTACAATGCCAGCTCTAAAACTGAAGTGTTTAAGACTGGATGTGTGGGACCTGTGCTGTGGCTTAGTGGGTAAAAGCTGCCGCCTGCAGTGCTGGCATCTCATAGGGGTGCTGGTTTGGGTCCCGGCTGCTCCACTTCTATCCAGCTCTCTGCCATGGCCTGGAAAACCAGTAGAAGATGGCCCAAGTCCTTGGGTCCCTACACCCACATGGGAGACCTGGGAGAAGCTCCTGGCTCCTGGCTTTGAATCAGCACAGTTCCAGTAGTTGCGGCCATCTTGGGAGTGAACCAGTGGATGTAAGACCTCTCTCTACCTCTACCTCTCTGTAACTCTGCCTTTCAAATAAATAAATAATTTTTTTTTAAAAAATGACTGGATGTAGAGCAAAACTGAGTGGGTTTGAATTTGTGCCACCACTTTATTACCTATGTAGTTTTAGGCAAGTCACAAAACCTCTATTTCCATTCATCTTGACAACCTACTACTTTATGTTGTTATGACAATTAAAGTTTTTTTAAAAATTTTATTTATTTATTTTTTGACAGGCAGAGTGGACAGTGAGAGAGAGAGAGAGAGAGAGAGAGAGAGAGAAAGGTCTTCCTTTGCCGTTGGTTCACCCTCCAATGGCTGCCGCGGCTGGCGCACCGCGCTGATCCGATGGCAGGAGCCAGGTACTTATCCTGGTCTCCCATGGGGTGCAGGGCCCAAGCACTTGGGCCATCCTCCACTGCCTTCCTGGGCCACAGCAGAGAGCTGGCCTGGAAGAGGTGCAACCGGGACAGAATCCGGCGCCCTGACCGGGACTAGAACCCAGTGTGCCGGCTTCACAAGGTGGAGGATTAGCCTAGTGAGCCGTGGCGCTGGCCTGACAATTATTCTGCATCATGTACTTAGTGCTTTGCATTTGTTAGCAACTGTAATTTTAGATCTCCTAAAGCGCCTATCAGAATCCTTCACAAAGTTCTAGTTTATATGATCTTGTGTCAAGTAAGTTTGCTAAAACCCAGTGTTGGCAAATGTATAGGGAAAAAAGTAATTGTTAATGTGAGTATAAACTGTCTGATGCGTTGGAAGGCAATTTTTCAGTATGCAGATACTCTGACCTAGCAAGTATATTGCTAGAAATGTGCCCTGTAAATATGCTTGCAAATATACACCAACAGTACTATTTAAAAAAATGCCCACTGAAAGACTCACAGCAGACTGGAAAAAACCTTAAAAGCCCATTAACAGAGGTCTGATTAGACACACTCTAAGATTTCCAAAATATCAAGTGGAAAGGACAAGTGCAGAGCAGTACCTGATCCCTTTTATATCAGTGAAAAGATTACACTGACACATACTTTTTTTTTTTCTTGTAGAGTTAACTAGGAAAATGTTAATGGTAGTTTACTTTTGAGAAGTGGAATGATGGCAGAGGAAAAATTTACTTCTCATTTTAAATTTCTGGCATATATTCTTTAAATACAAAAAAAATTAAAGGAATTGGGTATTATCTGAGCTACAGTAAGATGGCACTTTCTTCATCTCTTTACTGCTTTAATAAATATTATTAAAAAGAAAACATCCGCAAAGCACTACGAATAAATGTGAATAATACTTCAGTGAAATTTCTCAGATTTAGGAAAAGAAAAAAATATCCTAGTTTACAGAAGCCTCATATATTTTGGATGATTTCCCAAGCAAAGTACAACTATGACAAATAAAATTAATGGAGCTTGAACCTAAGAATTTAAGCAGGTTGGCTCAATGTGGGAGGAAATGTTATCTGACTTTATGAAATTATAAACAAAGGAAAGAATAAAAAACCAGAATGTGTAATTCTAAAACTTATTTTAAACTTAGATGAGGTAGTACCTTCCTTCTTGTGAAACTTGCTTTATTATAGTTCATTTTACTAACTCTAGTAGTAATGCAGTAACCATTCTTCTTGATTTAAAGCTTACTTGTGGGCTGCACTGTGGCCTACCAGGTAAAGTCGCTGTCTCTGATGCTGGCATCCCATACGGGTGCCAGTTCATGTCCTGGCTGCTCCACTTCTGATCCAGCTCCCTGCCAATATGCCTGGGAAAGCAGTGGAAGCGGCCCAACTGCTTGGGCCCCTGCACCCACGTGGGAGACCTGGAAGAAGCTTTGGGTTCCTGGCTTTGGCCAGGCACAGCTCAGGTTGCTGCAGCCATTGGAGGAGTGAAGCAGTGGATGGAAGAGCTCTCTCTTTGTCTCTCCCTCCCTCTTTGTGACTCTGTCTTCCAAATAAATAAATAAATAAATCTCAAAAAAAAAAAAAAAAAATCTGTTCAACGCTAAAGAGATATAGCCACAATAGCTTAACATTCTCTATGCTCACAGATATACAAGAATATTGGTAGTTAATAAACAGTGTCACTCAAAGATAACTGACTTAGTGAACATCAAATTTTCTAGTTTCCAAAATTTGGAGATATTCTGATTAGTCTTCTTTTTTCCTTTCCCCTCCTCCCTCTCCTTTCCTTTTTCCTCTCATTTTCTTCTCTATTTATCTGAAAGCAATCAATTGATGTTCTATCTGCTGGTTTACTCTGCAAATGCCTGCAACATCTGGGACTGGGCCAGGCCAAAGACAAGAGCCAGGAATTCCATCTGTGTCTCCCAAGTACTTCAGCCATTATCTGCTACTTCCCAGGCACATTAGTAGGAGACTGGATTTGAAGCAGAGAAGCCGGGACTTCATTTAGTTACTCTGATATGGGATGAGGGTATCCCAAGAAGACGCTTAACTTACTGCACCACAACACCCACTCCTGATTAATATTTCCGTATTAAAATCATCTCATAATTGAAAGTAGCACCATCCTCCCTCCTTTTCTACAAAAAAATTAAAAACTTTAATCTACCTAGTGACAGAATGATATATAAATGCTATTGTATACCTCATGGTATTGATGTACGTGTTTGCCGTAGCAGAATTCATATTTCCACCAACCAACACCCTAAAGGAAAGAAAACATATTAGATCAAGTTATGTACAGAGAATGGGAATTTGGGCCTGTCTCAATACTGCCACATGATAGGATAAAAATATATGTAATTTAAAAAAACCTGTCATAGAAATTGTATGGTTGAAAATTTAAAATTCTTGAGGACAAGACAAATACAGAGAATAACTGTTGTATTGCTCTGGTACAATAAAATAACATGAAAAGTCTACTTGTACTTGTATTTCCCACTGGTGCCAATAATGAGGGACAAAATTTACCTTTATAAAGGCAGATGTTAACTCAAGTTTGAAATGGGATTGCTTAAAATCCAAAATATAGGCTATATAATCACTGATGCCCATGCCAATGATCAACCAAATTACTCCTGACTGCCAGAGAAAAAGTCAAGTTTTACCTTGTGAGTAAAGAGAAAATAATGGCTATGGATTAGATTATACAGAAGCAGGGGTATGAAATTGCAGAGAGAAAAATGCTCATGGGGAATGGCAGGATTCTTTCATTTCTCTATAGATAAAAATTTTTCTGTACTGCTAATGTCCATTGACTAAATAACTGACAAGTAAGAGTTACAAGATAAACATTTAAATGAAAAAGTTTACTTCTCACCCCATGAAAGCAGTAAGAACCACTAAGGAACTCTTTTATGAGTTGGTCATCTGTCAGTTTGGATATATGAGTTGTTCCAACAGTGAGCATTGGCTGAGAGCCAATGGCAATGGGTTTGTGGATTGCTGGAAATCTCTCTTCTTTAGTTGACTGCAAATCTTCCTAAAATTAAACAGGAAACATGTTTAAAGGTTTCTATACCACATTTAATTTTACCAGTTACAGCTTCCATTATTCCATTATTAGTGTTATTATTTTTTAAGGATTTACTTATTTGAGAGAGAGAGAGAGAGAGAGAGAGAGAGAGAGAGAGAGAAATCTGTAATTGACTGATTCATTTCCCAAATGCCCACGACAGCTGTGACCAGGTCAGGTTGAAGCCAGGAGCCAGGAACTCCACTCATGTGGGTGTCAGGAAACAAAGTACTTGGGCTATCATCCTGTCTCCTGGGAATATTAGCAGGAAGCTGGATGAGAAATGTAGTATAGCCACTACTGATATGGGATGCAGGCATCCCGGGTGGTCGGTTAACATGCTGTACCACATCTAACCCTTTATTATTTTAAAGATTTATTTATTTATTTGAAAGTCAGAGTTAGATAGAGCGAGAAAGAGGGCCAGAGAGAAAGAGAGAGATCTTCCATCCATTGGTTCACTCCCCAATTGGCTGCAATGGCCGAAGCTGCACTGATCCAAAGCCAGGAGCCAGGAGCTTCTTCCGGGTCCCCACGTGGGTGCAGGGGCCCAAGGATTTGGGCTATCTTCTACTGCCTTCCTAGGCCACAACAGAGAGCTGGATTGGAAGTAGAACAGCCAGGACATGAACCAGCACCCACATGGGATACTGGCATTGCAGGTGGTGGCTTTACCTGCTACGCAACAGCGCCGGCCCCACCAAGTTATTATTAAACTGTAGAAAAATTTAAAAATAAATATTATCCATTTGTGGTCATTAAGGGTAAAGATGGGATAACAAATAGAATAAAAAGAAGAGGGAGGAAATATGAATATTAGTTAGAATTATTCAAATGGAGTAGAACCTGGTTATTGCTAAGGAGGAATCTGCAATGTAATAGGGGAGACTAAACTAATAAGGGTGCAGGTGCTATTAAGCTAATAGCACACGCACAGAGGAAGGCATGGTTCAAGCAGACTTTGACAAAGAAAATATGAAGACTTCATAAAGAGAAAGCCCTTAATTCTTGACACACAAAGGATTTGTGATTTATATCTGTGTATGAATTTTGTGTCTATGTATATGCCATGTGGACTTCAAGGAGGTAAAAGCAAAAATGCAGGTCTATAATATTGAAAACTTACAGGATGGAGCAGGTGTTTGGCCTAGTAATATTATTGGTTAAGATGCCCATGTCTAAAGAGTTCCTGAGTTTGATACCCACTCCTAAGTGCTGGTTCCAGCTTCCTGCTAATGTAGACCTTGGAGGTGATGGTGATAGATCAAGTGATGGATTCCTGTTATGCATGTAGGAGATATGGATTGAGTTCCAGGCTCTTGGCTTTGGCCTAATCCAGTCCCAGCCATTTTCAGGCATTTGGGGGAAAGAACAAGTGGATGGGAGCTCTCTCTCTACTTTCTCTTAAATACAAAAGAAATAAACTCTTAAAGAGAAAAAAGACATGAAAGGTAAGTAGGTACTCTAAGGTACAAAAGTATATGCCTAGAGGTTTGAACACTATCCTATCGGTTATTTAGGCAAAGATATGTTTTGATCATTATTATTATTACTATTTTAAAGATTATTTGAGAGGTAGAGTTACAGAGAGAGAGGGAGACAGAGGGAGAGGTCGTCCATCCGATGGTTCACTGCCCAAATGGCTGTAATGGCTGGAGCTGGGCTGATCCCACGTGGGTGCAGGGGCCCAAGCACTTAGGCCGTCTTCTAATGCTTTCCGAGGCCATCAGCTGCAGCTGGATCAAAAGTGGAACAGTGCTCATATGGTATGCTGGCACCCCAGGTGGAGGCTTAGCCTACCATGCCACAGCGTGGGCCCTGGTGATCATTATTTTTAAGTAGTTACTTTAACAGCTGCAGTTAAGAAGGAATAGCACAGACGAATCCAGAGGGAGTCAAGGTAGGAGTTGTAGAAACGCATTTCATAGATGAAGAGAATCCAAAGTAAGGGAATGATGGGGCTGAAGTAGAGAGAAAAGGGTAATTATGAAAAAGGTGAATAAGTCAGGATCTGATGGTTTTTGGGTATTTGACAATGGGTAGAGAGAAATGAATTTAGACCAGTACTATTTTGATTATAAAGAAAAACTTATAAAAATTGAACAGTAAGTGGGTTTCTAATACATGTAAACTATAAACTATGTATCCTTTTCCACTTCCTGCAACTGCCCCTAACCAATTGTGGTCCTTCTGCTTCTATTTCATCTTGGAGGAGTCATTGGATGGTTTACTCCAGAAACCAATGACCTTATGCTCTGTCCCTTCAAATATAAGGAAGAATAAAGATTTCTTGCCAAGATGGCCCCTTTTTTCTTTTTTTAAAAGATTTACTTATTTATTTGAAAGGCAGAGACAGAGAGAGGGAGAGAGAGGGAGAGAGGGAAAGGGAGAGAGGAGAGAGATCTTCCATCAGCTGGTTCACTCTCCAAAAGGCCTCAGTGGCTGGGGCCGGGCCAGGTGGAAGCCAGGAGCCAAGAGCTTCTTCCAGCTCTCCTACGTGGGTATAGGGGCACAGGACTTGGACCATCTTTCACTGTTTTCCCAGGTGTATTAGTTGGGAGCTGGATCAGAAGTGGAGCAGCCAGATCACTAATTAGCATCCATATGGGATACTGGTGCCACAGGCAGTGGCTTTACCTATTATGCCACAGCACTGGCCCAGCACCTTATTTTTTAAAGTACCTTGAACTTTAATGTATAACTCTATCCACCTTCAGAGAATTCTGACCAAATAACTCCTGAGTAAATAATAGCTCCTGGTATTCTCTTATGTGCTAAGTATTACTTCTAAGAGGTTGAATAGACTAAACTGGAGTGGTAATAAGGACAGAATCATAACCTTTTTTTTTTTTAAGATTTATTTTACTTATTTGAAAGGCAGAGTTAGACAGGGAGATGAGAGAGACACAGGGAGAGATCATCTATCTGCTGGTTCACTCCCCAAATGGCTACAATGGCTCAGGGTTAGGCCAGGCCAAAGCTAGTAGCCTGAATTCCATCTGGTATCCCATGTTGGTAGCAGGAGCCATTTTCTTCTGCTGCCTTCTTAGGTGCATTAGCAGGGAACTACAACAGAAGTGGAGTAGCTGAGACTTGAAGTGGTCCTTATATGGGATGCTGGCATTGTAGATGGAAGCTTAACTCACTACACCATGACGGCAGCCCCTAATGTTGCTTCTTTGGGACAAAACATCCATTTTCATTTTAAGGAAAATTATTCTAATATAAATAGGCTAACAATTTTATAGCAGGATTTGAAAATCCATAAAAATGAACTCCTAAAAGTTTGTGATAATCTCCAAATTAATGTAATATAATCATGCAGGGAGATCAAAACCAAAATTCGGATAGCCAGATTTGTATTTTTGTTTAAAAAAAAAAAAAAATTCTTTATCTATATGGTGAACATTGATCCACACTTAAAAGAAAAACAAAATATCAGATAAACATTTTTATTTTTTAAAAATATTTTATTATTTGAAAGTTGAGGGAAAGGAAGAGGTCTTCCATCTGCTGGTTCATTCCCCAGTGCCTGCAACAGCTGGGGCTGGGCCAAGCCAAAGTCCGCAGCCCAGAAAACTACCTGGGTTTCTATGTGAGTGGCAGGGATCCAAGAACTTAAGGGACACTGTAGCCTCCACAGAGTATCCATGCAGGAAGGCAGAATTGGAAGCAGAGCTGGGGCTTGGATCCAGACACACTGATATGGGACATGGGTGTCCTAAGCCGTGTCTGAACCACTGCACCCAAAGCCTGTCCCCAAATGTACATTTTTTTTTAAGGATTTATTTATTTATTTGAAAGGCAAAGTTACAGAGAGGCAGAGACAAGAGAGAGAGAGGTCTTCCAACCACTGGCCTCCTCTGGGCCTCCCACATAGGTGCAGGGGCCCAAGGACTTGGGCCATCTTCTGCTTTTTCATGTCATGGCAGACAGCTGGATTGGAAGTGGAGCAGCCAGGACTTGAACCAGCACCCATATGGGATGCCAGCACTGCAGGCGGCAGCTTTTCCTGCTATACCACAGCACTAGCCCCCCAAAGTGTACATTTTTAACAGAGAAATTATGTGCAACAGATTTACATTTAAAAAAGATTGTAAAATAAAGATCAGTTTCATTATGCTACAATATCACCTAAGATTTTCATATGGAACATGTGCCCTAAAGATCCAAGTATTTTGAAAGCACTATCATCTGAAGTTTAAAAAAAATTATTTTCTCAACTGACAGATTAAGTACAGTATTTAAAGAAAATAAACTGGGGCCAGTGTTGTGGTGTAGTGTGTAAAGCCGCTGCTTGCTATGCTGGTGTATCATACTGGCAGCGGTTTGAGTCCCAGCTGCTCCACTTCCCATCCAGTTCCGTGCTAAGGCACCTGGGAAATCAGCAGAAGACGGCCCAAATCCTTGGGCCCCTAAACCCACATGGGGTACCCAAAGGAAGCTCCTGGCTTCTGGCTTTGGATTGTCCCAGCTCTGGCGGTTGCAGCCATTTGGGGAGTGAACCAGCGGATGGAAGCTCTCACTCTGTCTCTTCCTTTCTCTCTCTGTAACTCTGCCTTTCAAATAATAATGAAAAAAAAAATCTTAAAAAAAAAAAGTGCTTTGGCCCTTGTACCCATTTGGGAGATCTGGGAGAAGCACCTGGTTCCTGGTTTCAGTCTGGTCCAGCCCTGGCCATTGTGGCCATCTGGGGAATAAACCAGCAGACTGAAGACCTCTAACTCTCTTTTAAACAAATAAATCTTAAAAAGAGAAAAGAAGAAAAGTAAACTGTCACTTTTTCCTTGAAGAGCAATGAAAATTGGGATTTGTGAAGCATTTTGATTGAGCTAAGTACCTGTCAGTATTTAGATCACTATTAAACAGAAGACAAGGGCCAGCACTGTGGTGTAGTGGGTAAAGCCGCTGCCTGCAGTACCAGCATCCCATATGGGCACTGGTTCGAGTCCCAGTTGCTCCACTTCCGATCCAGCTCTCTGCTATGCCTGAGAAAGCAGTAGAAGATGGCCTAAGTCCTTGGGCCCTGAACCCATGTGGGAGACCGAAAAGAAGCTCCTGGCTCCTGGCTTCAGATTGACACAGTTCCAGCCATTGCAGCCAAGTGAGGAGTGAAGCAGCGGATGGAAGATCTCTCTCTCACTCTCTCTTTCTGCCTCTCCTCTCTTTGTGTAACTCTGACTTTCAAATAAATTAAATTAAAAAAAAAAAAAAAAAAAAAGAAGACAAAAAGAGAACCTAGCTCCAGTCTTTTAAAACATACAACACTCCAAACCAAACTGTGGAATTAATGTTAAGGTCACTGTCAAAGTGATAGTTCATCCATGAGTCCAGCAATACTTAAGTAAAAAATACTGAAGAGAAAGTTAAACAGCTCCTGCAGCTAAGTATTAGTAACTAAACCATCAATAAGTACCCTCCACATGCCAGGTATCATGCAAGGAGCTAAAACCCAGAAGTAGGCCGGAGCAGCAGCTCAATAGGCTAATCCTCCGCCTAGTGGCGCTGGCACACTGGGTTCTAGTCCTGGTCGGGGTGCCGGATTCTGTCCCGGTTGCCCCTCTTCCAGGCCAGCTCTCTGCTGTGGCCCGGGAGTGCAGTGGAGGATGGCCCAAATGCTTGGGCCCTGCACCCGCATGGAAGACCAGGAGAAGCACCTGGCTCCTGGCTTTGGATCAGCGTGATGCGCCGGCCGCAACGCGCTGGCTGCGGTGGCCATTGGAGGGTGAACCAACAGCAAAAGGAAGACCTTTCTCTCTGTCTCTCTCTCTCACTGTCCACTCTGCCTGTCAAAGATAAAAAAAAAAAAAAAAAATTAAACAAACAAACAAACAAAAAAAAACCCAGAGGTAAAGGAAGCATAGTTTCTTCTGCCCTCAAGTTAATGTAAGAACCATTGGCAAAACCACCAGTTTTAGCCACTGAAGTGCTACAATACAGGACTACATAAAATACATGACTACTAAGGGTGAACAATTCATTGGGTATTCTGGCTCATTTCCAAAGGCAGTAACACTGGAATCACATCTGCAAGGCCAGGTTGAAGTTTATTAAGTCAAGGGAAGAAAAGGGGAAAAGGTAACAAAAAAAGGAAAAAAGGCCAGAAAGAACATGGTAATTCAGGAGACTGTAAGTAGTTCAAAATAGCTAGGATAAAGGGAATAGTAGGGGCAGGCATTTAGCCTAGCAATTAAGATACTGATTAGGATGCCCACATCCTATATCACAGTGCCTGTGTTTGATACCTATTCTAGCTTCCTGCTAATGCAGGCCCTAGTAGGCAGTGGTGATGACTAATGTAATTACACTCTTGCCATCCACATGGGGGACCTGGATTGTATTTCTGGCTCCTAATTTTGGCTGTGGTCCTGTCCCAGCTGTTCCAAGCATTTTGGGAGTTAACTAGTACATGGGAGCTTGCTCTATCTATCTCAAACAAAAACAAAAATACCCTAAAGAATTCTATTAAGCCTATAAGGCTATCTTTTAAAAAAAGGGGTGTACTTGTGTGTGGTACAGGCATTTGGCTTAGTATTAAGATGTATTTGGCTTAATATTAAGATGCTGGTATGGGATGCCCACATCCAATATTGGAGTGCCTGTGTTCGAGTACTGGCTCCACATTTTTTTTTTTTTAAAGATTCGTTTATGTGACAAGCGATGTGACAGAGTGAGAGGGAAAAAGAGAAAGAGAGATCTTCCATCTGCTGGTTCACTCCCCAAACGGCTACAAAAATGTGGCTGGATCAGACCGGAGTCAGGAGGCTAGAACTTTGTCTGGGTCTCTCACGTGGGTGGCAGGGACCAAGTATTTCTCAGATACATTAGCAGGGAGCTGGACTGGAAGTGCAATGGCTGGATCTCAAACTGGCAATCCAATACAGGAATGCTGCCAATGCAAGTGGCAGCCTAACCTGCTGTATCACAATGCCAATCCTGGATCCACTGGATTCCAGCTAATGAAGACTCAAGTAATTGAGTCCCTGCTACCCACAGGGGAGACCTGGGTGGAGTTCCTCATTCTTCAGTTTAGCCTGCTGATCCTTGGCCATTGTGGGCACTGAAGAGTAAACCAGTAGATGGGAGCTCTGTTGTCTGTTACTCAAATAAAGACAAGGAATGATAATGGAAGATGAGGTTGATTTTATGAGGATAATGGAAGATGAGGAAGATTTTATCTTGAGTTATAGATAATGTTAACTATCATAGGATTAAATAAATAATCAAATGTGTAGAAAGAGCATTTTATCTGCTGCAAAGGAAGATTAGAAAGGGGATTTGTGAAGAAACCAGTTTCTGGGACTAGGAAATAATGAGGTCTAGAAATACAATTAGGAGTGATTTAAAAAGCATTTAGAAGACTAATGGTTCTTAAAAAATGATTAGATTTAGATATAAATGAGGGAGGAGATATACAGTTTGGCACATGCTCAATCGGACTTGCCCCAAATGGTAAAGTTAGAAACGTGCCTGGGGATTCCAATTCAATCCCATCAAGGTGGCATGTACCAATGCCATCTCACTAGTCCAAATGATCAGTTTCAGTTCATAACTGATCATACTGATAGGTCTAAGAGTCAAAGGGATCACATAAACAAGACTAGTGTCTGCTAATACTAACTGATAGAATTAAAAAGGAGAGAACGATCCAACATGGGAAGCGGGATACACAGCAGACTCATAGAATGGCAGATGTCCTAAACAGCACTCTGGCCTCAGAATCAGCCCTTAAGGCATTCGGATCTGGCTAAAAGGCCATGAGAATATTTTAGGCATGGAAAGTCAAGACACTGTGGCAAAAAACCAAACAAACAAAAAACTACATGAAAGATCTCTGTGAGTGAGATCCAGTGCAAAGAACGGGCCATCAAAGAAGGAGGTACCTTTCTCTGAAGGGAGGAGAGAACTTCCACTGACTATGGCCTTGTCTAAATAAAAGCGGAGTTGGCGAACTCAAAAGACTTCCATAGCCTTGGCAACTCATGACAAGAGCCTAGGGTGATTACTGATGCCATAAACAAGAGTGTCAAATTGTCAAGTCAACAACAGGAGTCCCTGTGCACTTACTCCCCATGTAGGATCTCTGTCCTTAATGTGTTGTACTATGTGAATCAACAGTATAACTAGTAATCAAATAGTACTTTACACTTTGTGTTTCTGTGTGGGTGCAAATTGTTGAAATCTTTACTTAATATATACTAAATCAATCTTCTGTATATAAAGATAATTGAAAATGAATCTTGATGTGAATGGAATGGGAGAGGGAGCGGGAGATGGGAGGGGTGCAAGTGGGAGGGAAATTATTGGCGGGGGGGAAGCCAATGTAATCCAAAAGCTGTACTTTGGAAATTTGTATTTATTGAATAAAAGTTAAAGGAAAAAAAAGCATTTAGAAGACTAATGGCTCTTAGAAAATGATTAGATTTAGATATAAATGAAGAGATAAGAAAAAAGAGTCAGATTTCTGACTTTGTCAACTGGGAACAGCAGAGTGCTTTAAAGGCATTGGAGAGGATAAGAAAATGGATGAGGAAAAACGATGAGTGTGAGATTACTGAGAATGTATAAGGTGATGTCCCATTGGAGATAAATGGGAAGACATCAAAAGGGGGAAGCAGCATAGAGAAGTGGTTAGAAGGACAGCAATGAGCAGAAGAATAACTACAGTGGAGATGGGGTTGTAGTCTACTTTTTCAAGAGGCTTAAGCTGGATCAGCTATCTAAAAATTTAACTGACTATAACACAAAAAATGTCACACTTTAAAATATTATAGAATTTTGAGTATCTAAGAATCTCAAAATTATTTCTAAGAAGTACTTAACAAAAGAATTAAAATCAATGAGCAGAATTGGCATTTAAAATTTTGAGTCAAAAAATAAACTGCTAATACTATATATTACAAGAATATTTAAATGCTGATACATGTTCTGAAATTTGGAAAATGAAGCATTGAGAAATTATCAACAAATAATCCTCATACCTCTTTACTTCTCCTGAAAGGCACCCTTAGTATTTCTTCCTGCTGCTCCAGCTGTCTCAGAGTGAGGGGCTTAAATGGCGATCCTGGCAGTGACTGGCAAAATATGTCATTCACAGGAGATGCTCTGAACCTATTCCATAAGAACAAAACATTAAAGCTAAGCATAGAGCACTTTAAGGCATGTGTGCATTTTATGTTTAAAATATTAAATGCACATCCTACCTATATTTAGGATGACTGCACAAGAGTGGTGTCAAAATGACAACTTCATATTCACAAGTTGTAACTTCAGCTACCGAAAGAATTTCATGCTTAGATTCAGGATGACATATGTACATCACAGTACTTGATCTGGGCCGGTTCTGTTTCAAACTACAAGGTGTACCATTTCCCATTCCCACCGGATAGTAGGGTGTCATCTGACCTTCGATATTTTTAGTGGGAATCTTAAAAAAAAGAGTATAAGACATACTTTTCATTAGAGAGGTGGGGATAAGGATGGGAGAAGCATTTATTATTCTGAAAGGGAGAAAACTACATTTTATTTATAAATGGAAAGGTAACATTTGTGTATTTTCTTTAAGTTCTTCCTCTAGTATTGTTTTGATTCTTAAGTTCTTGTTTGAGCAAATATAAGTATGTATTTTCATAGCTAGCTTAATACAAAAGAAAATGACTTAATACTAAAATTAAGATATTAAGTAAATGTACATTTTTGTAAATGGTTATAGGATCATGATTAGTAGGAATTTTTTTCTAACATTTCTGAAGGAAGACACTCAGACTAAAATATAAAACTTACTAAACAGGCTGCTCAGAGCATTCTTCCCTGAACTCTTAATTGATAACCATCTTGATTCTATAAGTCTCAAGGATGATTTGTCAAAAAAGAAGGGCTATATTGTATAGCTCTACCTAAAACAGGAATCTAAATATACCACTGGTTTATCAATATGCTTTTTCTTTGCTGTTATTAAAAGGAACACCACAGACTTTTCAGCACATAAACTCCTATATATGAACATCTATTCTAGGCCAGCAAAAGACAAATTAAAAAACTATCACAGGATGGAGGAATAAAGGACATAATCTGAGATGTCAAGGATTATTAAGGAATTAGCTCTCATACTTTCCTCCATATAAGCACAAGACAAATGTAATATAGGTATTTTATAAAGATATTGATAATCATATCTTCAAGCAAACTCTTTGGAGGCAGGGTTTGCATCTTGCACCACTTTGGTACCTCTCAGTGACAGGCAATAAATAAATGTTTCCAGGAAAAAATAATTTGAGACTTATTTTTACACTCATATCTGAAATCAGCTTTGATTTAATCAGATTTATGATGATCAATTTTTAAGTTTTTGTCATTTATAATAGCAGAATAATAAATATTCACAGGTTATTGGGAGAATTAAACATAGGCTTTTGTTACATGCCTTGCAGTATCTGGCTTGTAAACTGGGGCTCAGTAAATGTTAGTGTTCTTCCCTTACCCTTTTCTTTCTCTTCCTTTATCATTTCATACATTGTGTTCCATCCTGCTATCCTCCATAGTCACAGTAAATAAATATTTTATCTCAAAGGTAGTCTATAAAATTAAAATCTTTTAAAATAGCAATGCTATGTGTGTCTCTGCTTAGCTGATCAAGTCCTCCCAAAGTCACCCTTTTAAGTTTTATGTGTCCTTTAATTTTCAAGGTCTCTGCCATTTCATTTCACTTCTAATGAAATTTATCATGAAATATTCTCTATCAATATTGTTTTTAAACGTTGGAAATTCTTAGGAATCACAAAGTATTCCTTGAACCACATGGTATTTAATAATTAAGATCAGGCAACTTAAGGAATCATTCTTTTTAAACTATTTTTATTTACCATGTATCCATTCATTCAATAAACATGTATGAAATACTGACAGTCTGGCACTCAGCTTTGCACTCTGAGTTGAAGAGATAAAAGTATCTTTTTTCAAGATGCTTTTAGTCTGATGCCTTGTTATTTGCATATATACTTCATCTGTTTTACTAATAGGAGATGGGGGCCAAATAAGAGAAAAACACAAAAGCTCCTACTAGAATAGTTTCCAAAACTAAACAGAAGAAATCACTGCTAAGCACAGAAGTGATACAATGCTATCACAGAATCTTTCCCAGATACATCATTAATATATTTATCTACTTAGGTAGCATTTTTAAAGTAAATAAAAGAATCACAGTGTTAACTTTTTTCAGAAAAATTATATTGTGATTTTTGTCTCAATCCTTTGAGGTATTTGATAAAGAATGGAAAGCAAATTCTGTTAATTAAGTTGTGTAGATTCATGCTTCACTAACAATAAATTTTGAGTTTAAAAAGAAAAATCAACATTTGGCACTTGCCTCGTTTGACTTTTCCTTTTCCTCTGCTTCTCGTTCTGTGGAATAATATAAGAGAAAGGTAACTGTAAAGAATGGTTACCGTTAGGACATAGATACAAATGACTAAGTTGTCAACCAAATTTAAACCTTTAAGGTTTTGGGGCCAGTGTTGTGGTGTAGTGGGCGATAGCATCCTATGCGCACAGGTTCAAGACCTAACTACTCCACTTTTTTTTTTTACAGGCAGAGTGGACAGTGAGAGAGAGACAGAGAGAAAGGTCTTCCTTTGCCGTTGGTTCACCCTCCAATGGCCGCCGCGGCCAGCGCGCTGCGGCCGGCGCACCGCGCTGATCCGATGGCAGGAGCCAGGAGCCAGGTGCTTTTCCTGGTCTCCCATGGGGTGTAGGGCCCAAGCACTTGGGCCATCCTCCACTGCACTCCCGGGCCACAGCAGAGAGCTGGCCTGGAAGAGGGGCAACCGGGACAGAATCCGGCGCCCCAACCGGGACTAGAACCCGGTGTGCCGGCGCCGCAAGGCGGAGGATTAGCCTAGTGAGCTGCGGCGCCGGCCAACTATTCCACTTTTGATTAAGCTCCCTGCTAATGTGTCTGAGAAAGCAGCAGAAGATGGCCCAAGTGCTTGAGCTCTTGCAAGTACTCGTGCTCCTGCAACCATGTGGGGAGACGCGGAACAAGCTCCGGACTCCTGGCTTCAGCCTGGCCCAGTCCCAGCCACTGCGGCCACTTGGAGAGGGAATCAGCAGATGAACGATCTGTTTCTCTCCCTGTCTCTTCCTCTCTCTACGTAATTCTGACTTTCAAATAAATAAAGGTTTAAAAAAACCCCACCAAAACTCCCTCAAAGTTCTAAAGGAGAGCCAAAACATACATTTTTATCTCACTACCTTAAAGTTGGTAACCTTGAAATGATTATGTATCAAATTATATTATATACATTTATCTTTATATCTTCCCCTAAGAAATATTTTATTTCATGCAGGAAAACTAGCCACAACCATTTTGTTTTGAATTTACAAGTTTATTTATATTCATTTGAAAGGCAGAATGACACACGGAGAGGAGGGTGAAGGGGAGGGGGAGGGAGAGGGAGAGAATGAGCTTGCATCTGCTGGTTCACTCCCCAAATGCCCACAAAAGCCAAAGTCGGGCCAGGCTGAAGCCAGGAGTCTGGTACTCTGTGTCTCACATGTGGGTGGCAGGGACTCAACTACCTGAGCCTTCACCTGCTGCTTCCCAGAATCACATTATCAAGAAGCTGACTGGAAGCTTATTAGCCAGGACTGGAACTAGGCACTTGGATATAGGATGTAGGTGTCTCAATATGCTGTGCTACAATGTCCACCCCCGAAGTTTTAAATTTTTTTTCTTCTTTCTTTATTTCAGAGGCAGAGAGAGAGAGAGAGAAACTCTCATTTGCTGGTACACTTGCCAGATGCCTGCAATAGCTGGGGATGGGCTGGGCCAGAGCCAGGAGCAGGGAACTTAATTTAAGTCTCCCACAGGAACCTAATCACTGCCATTAGCACTGCCTCCCAGGGTCTGCATTAGCAGCAAGCTAAAGCCAGGAGCTGGAGGTGGGAACTGAACCCAGGTACTCCAATGTGTGACACTGGTGTCTTAACCAGTGTCTTAATCACTAGGCTAAACATTTATTCTTGAAGTTTTTATCTTAGAACTTTCATCTTAAATTAGTTGGCCAATTCGATTAATAAAAATTTTATCATCTGAGGGATATAGCTGTTTTTATACATAAAAGCTTTGTTTAAACCAAATATGAATGCTATGTATATAAATATATAACACTAACTTGTATATCCTACCAGATTTTAAAAACATTAATAGTAAGCAGAAAAAAATATGATGTTTGTCATGGCAGAAAATAATGAAAACAAAAACTTCAAAAGTGTTTTCTTGGGGCTGGCCACAGGCATTGTGGTGTAGATGTTAAGCTGCCACCGGCAATGCCAGCATCCCATATGGGCGCCAGTTCAAGTCCCAGCTGCTCCACTTCTGATCCAACTCCTTGCTAATGGCCTCGGAAAAGCAGCAGAAGATGGCTCATGTGTGGGCCTCTACACCTACAAGGGAGACCCAGATGATGCTCTTGGCTTCGGCTTGGCCCAGCCCTAGCCACTGTGGCCAGCTGGGGAGTGAACCAGTGGATGGAAGATCTCTGCCTTTTCTTCTTTCTAACTGCCTTTTCTTCTAACTCTGGCTTTCAAATAAATAAATAAATCTTGAAAGAAAAAAAAGGGTTTTCTTAACTGCTACAACAAAGGGACAGTTCAGAAATTCATTTCAGTGTTTTAAAATTCATAGTCTCCAAGAAAATCTTTTAATGTCCAATATGAACATCTATTTTAGAGAAAATACCAGCATTATCATCAAATCACTGTGCAGAGACCAACCTTTTTCTGACAGAAGGTTCTTAGCCAACATATTCCCAAGGTAGTACTCATGAATATTTATTTTCTGTATAAAAAAAAAGAAAAGTGAGCATTTTACCGATATATGTACATTTTTAACATGTAATAATTGTACATATTTATGGGGTACAACAAGATATTTCAATACATGTATACCATGTGTACAGATCAAATCAGGGTCATTGGTATTCCCATCTCTTTATCATTTCTTTATATTTGGAGACTTCAAACTCCTCTCTTCTCATTCTTCACAAAACATCTTCTAGGTTCTTGTGAACTACAGTTACCCTATTATACTATAGAACTCTAGAATTTATTCCTCCTATCTAATTTGGTACCTCTTAAACAACACAGAATATAATTTTTTAAATTACTAATTGCATTATTAAACTCCTTATTTTATAAAGTTCCTTACTTTATATTTTGAAGAAAAACATACCTGACCAGTTTCTTTCTCTTCATGGTATTGCCGAATGTGTTTTCCATGACATACTTCGTAAGTCCAATAGGACTCAATCTAAGAAAGATGGATGTATTTACATATAGTTCAGTTGAATTACTTTTTGGTATTTTAAGTGGTTGAGTAGATTTTCCCTAATATTTAGGGTAAATTTTCATTAAGTGACACAATTATACCTCAGAAAAATGTGAAATTTCTGCAGTCTACTCATTATTTTTACTTATTGATAATTTTGTGCAGGAAATAGGTCTAGAATATTTTTGAGGTGTGTATTAACAACCTGGTTTAGTGATAATTTTTAATGTAGCTTAAAAATAGCAACTAGCTTTTTAATATAAAATTCTATTATGCTAGGAAACGTTCTTTTGAATTAAAACAGCAGGTATAGTGATATGATTTGATACTAGAATTAGTGGTTATCTGCTGCATATACAATACAGGAATCTAAATGAACAAACTACTATGAAGCCATAAGCTAGATTTGTACCTAACTTAAAAACTTGATATAACATAATAAGAAATAATATGGAAGTAATTTCAAGGATCTATTGGCTACTAGAATTTATTTTCTAGCTAATCAATGAACATAAAATACATACTCTGTAGGAACAACTGCTTTGTTTAAATAGTGGTTCCAAAAGCTCTCGTGGATTAGGACCTTTGTAATCCTTTTCTTCTTCCTAGGAAAGAACTGGAGTTTAATACTTGCAAGTTTTCTAGAATTTCATCCAACTTTGCTGTTTGAGTATTAATACATTGGTCTAATCAAAATGCTTGGAAAAATAGGAAAGTCAAAATTTTTAAAAAGAAGCTATGGTAAGCCACATTTTTCAAATGAATTGAAGTATAAAATACAGAGCCACAGAGCAATCATCCATAGTCTATTCTACTTTCTTTTAAAAAAGATTTTAAGTAACAGTTTTTTGAACAAATCTTATACATTTATTTCAGAATTTTTAAATGCTTTCACCTAATGAACTTCTAGTTATGAAAACGTTAGAATAGCTGAATTTTTTAGAATACATTGATTGGAAAGTTTTAAGATACTTTAAGATAAATTTTCTATGCATTTTATAAATTTCAGACTTGAATACTACATATTATGTGTTGTTTTGTTTGTGTACTTCTATCTCATCAAAGTTTAAAACAAAATGAAAACAGCTGTCTCAGACAGATTTCCAATCTGAATAAAACCTAAGGAGGTACTGACTTTAATATTTCTATTTTACAGATCATGAAAGTATTACATAATTGGTTTAATAAATTTTTTGAGTGGAGGAACTGACTTTCAAGTTAGTTTAAGGTTCCACTGCTAACTATAGACTATACCTCAGCCTCCTCCTGGCTGGTGTCCTTTTCATTTTATCATGCTGCCCCTCCTGTTTCATCTTGAAAGAAGTCACTGACTTGAAGGATGGATAAAAGGCAGTTTGGGCATTTTAGGAGAAAGAAAATGACACGAACTAAGTTGGTTGAGAAAGCACAATTATAATTCATAAGAAATTCTTTATGGGGGTGGGTATTTGGTCTAGTGGTTAAAATGCCACTTCAGATACTACATCCTATATCAGAGTCCCTAGGTTTGAGTTTCAGTTTCCTGGGATGCAACACTGATGGCTGAAGTAGTTGGGTTCCTGCCACCACATGGGAGACCTGGAGTGAGTTCCACGCTTTTGGCTTTTGCCTTCTCCAGCCCTGAGAGTTGACAGGCATTTGGGGAGGGACACAGCTGATGGAAGATCTCTTTCTCTTTGCCTTTCCAATAAATTAGAATAAATTCTTTATAAAAATATCATATATTAAAAATTGTATTTGTTTTAAAGCCCTTATATCTATATGAGAAAAACAAACATGGACTTTGATTTTCATTCATAATATTAATTGAGGGGCCAGCCTTGAGGTGCAGTGGGTTACAGCACTGCATATGCTACCATTCTACACTGGAGTGCCAGTTCGAGTTCTGGCTACTCTGATTCCAATCCAGCCTCTTCTAATGCATCTGGGGAAGGCAGGAGATAATAGCACCAGTATCTAGGTTCCTGCTGGATGGTGTTCCAAACTCCTGGCTTTACCCTGGCCTAGCCCTGGCTATTGTGGGCATTTTGAAAGTGAACCAGTGGGTAGAAAATCTTTCTCTTTCTCCCTCTGCCTTTCAAATAAAACAGATCTTAAAAAATTAATAACTGGATGCTAATTTTGCAAAGAATTCAAGAATAAAAGTGATTTATTATTTTTATGCTAAATCTAGGTTACTGAGAAACCTATTATTCAATTTTGTTTTCAAGTATGTGGTTATAATGTTAGGTGAAAGGAATCATCATCATATTTCTAAAAACTTACCTCATCTCCACTTGTCACAAGGGGAAGTATACATTTGTATTTTTCTTTATGTGTAGTTGTCATGATGACATAATTATCTTCTTTATACAAAACTCCAGTTGTGGGCTAGAAAAACAACAAGAATATATATTACTTTCTCCAGTTAAACTGTTATCAGATTGAAACAAAAATTCTTCAAAATATCATTTCAACAGAAGATTTTAAAAATGTTTTTCCAAAAGGTGGAAAAATAGTCTATACATTTTTATTCTTTATTAAATACTTTTTGGCTGGTAATAATTATACATATTTTAGGGTACAGTGTGATGTTTTGATTCATGTATACGCTATGTACTGATCACATCAGGGTAACGGCATATCCTTCATCTTGAACTATCATTCTTTTAAATCCTCTCTTCTATTCATAATAAATCCTCAAAATCCTCTCTTTTTTATCTGAAAGGAAGAGACAGAAATAGAGACATGGACAGAGAGATATCTTCCATCTGTTGGTTCATTTCCCAAATGGCCACAACAGCTGGAGCTGGTCCAGATAGAAGCCAGGAGCCAACAACTGCATCATGGTCTCTGACATGGGTGGCAAGTGACCAAGCACTTGGGCCACCATCTTCTGCCTTCCCAGGTGCAACAGTGGGGAGCTGGATTGGAAACAGAGCAGCCAGGACTTGATCAGATCAGGTACTCTGATACAGGATACTGGCAACTGCAGGCTCTTAGCTCACTGTACCACAACTCCAGCCCACTTAAAATCCTCTCTTCAATTTATTTTTTAATGACAAAATGAAGACAAACTTTAGCCTTGTGTTACAATAGAAAAAATAAAATATGTAGTATAAGAAAAACAGTAGTAATGCAATAGGATAAAGTTAACATACCAATTAAGAGGCAATGAATGTTCCTAAACTATCATGGGATACTTATTACTTCTTTGTTTTTATTTTTTATAAGATTTATTTGAAAAGCAGAGTGAGAGAGAGAGGAAGAGAGACCTTCCATCTGTTGGCTCACTCCCTAAATGGCTGCAATATTCAGGGCTGGGCAAGGAGCCTAGAGCTCTATCTGGATCTTCCATGTGGGTGACAGGGACACAAGTACTTGGTTCATCATCTGCTGCCTTCCCAGGTGTATTAGTAGGAAGCTGGGTTGGAAGAATAGCTGGAATTCAAACTGGCACTCAAAGATGGGATACAGACATTCCAAATAGCAGTCTAACCCACTGTGCCACAATACCTACTCCTACTTATTACTTCTAATAGTAATTCCCATCTATATGGGCTAATTTACAGCACTTTATTTATTCATTTGAAAGGCAGAGAGCCAGAGCCAGAAACCTCTTTTCTGCTGGTTCACTGCTATAATGCCTGCAACAACCATGACTAGGTAAATCTGAAGCTAGGAGGCAGGAACTTAATTCAGGTCTCTGGGGTAGATGTCAGGAATCCAATTACCAGAGCCATCAGTGCTGCCTCCCAGGGTCTGCATTAGCAGGAAGCTGGAGTCAACAGCTGGAGCATTGTATTGAATGCAGGTATTCCAATATGCGATGAGCCATCTTAACTTCTAGGCTAAATGCCCACCCTAGCAAAACTTTATTGTAAAGGGCCAGATAATAAATATTGTAAACATTTTAGGCTTTGTGGGCCACATGGTTTCTGTTACAAGTCTGCTACTCTAGCATCAAAGTGCATAGACAACATGTAAACAAACAAGCGTGGCTGTAGTCCAATAAAACTTCTTAAGAATATGTGGCAGACCAGCACAATAGCTGTAGTTTGTGGGTTTCTGGTGTGTAGCAACAAAACTCTACTTAAAGCTTTCTATGCTTTGAAACCAAATTCACATTGGTTCATGTGAAACAATTTAAATCCAATGAACCCTTCAATTAATATAAATATTATTTTACCTAAGAAATTTCTGCTTTTGGATAGCAAATGTGATGCTATTTACTAAGAGATTTTCATGTTTTATGATACGTATTCTATGATAATTTCATTCATTTTTCACCTCTCTCTCCTTACAGTACTGTGAAACCATGTACTACTGGCTATTCCTGACAAGGAAAGAATTACTTACTGAGTACCTCTTTCTGTTCTCATTTTAACAGTAACAAATCTTGAACTATAATAAAATCAGTACTACTTGGTACTAATGTAATCCTAAACACAAATGCAAATTAGGGCAATATTTTATAAAATAAGGCAGAAAATAACAGCCGTATTAGCTCCACGACAGCCAAGCCAGTTTACCTTCAGTGTCTGTGGAATTGGCTTCACAGCACCCCTCATCCAAGATGCTCAAGCCCTTTATATAAAATGATATACTATTTGCATATAATTTATGTACATCATTCCATATGCTTTAAATATTCTCTAGAGTGTAATTATAATTCTTAATACAATGTAAAGACTATGTAAATACCTGTTACCCTATTGCTTAGGGAACAGTGATAAGAAAAGTTTACATGTTCACCATAGATAAAAATACTCCCACCTCCCTGGAATACTTCTGTGTTCAATCTTTGGACACAGAACCTGCAAATACAGGGGGACAACTGTCCTGTTTTAGGTACTTTACATCTGTTAACTCATTAATCCTCAAAACAAACATCATGCTGATTTCTACAGAAAAGGACACTAAGGCCCAGGGAATCCAAGCAGATTGGCCCCGTATTATGTGTGTTCCTAACTGGTTTACCATATTTGAATGACCTTTTAATTTCTTTTTTAGAGTACACTGTAGATGTCTGGATAATGACCAGGAATTTTCATTTAAGACCGGTGTTAAATGCTGAGAGATTCAAGGAGATTTGAAAGTAATAGTTGTTAAGTCAAATTTAAAATAAAGGTATTCATAGAAACATGTATTCAGTTATGCCAAGAATTTCCTGTAAAATGTAACATTTATAAAGCCTTATGTTTTGTGGACATACTAAGAATATATATGTCAGAACTGTGTAAAGCATTGACCCACACTCACTTAGCAATGTATGGCCTGAAGCCTTGTCAAATCATTCCTATACTGTAATGAAGGCAAGATAGTAGCAAATGATTTCAATCTATTGATGTGTATTTATGAAGTACTTGATGTTCAGAGTTCTACAACATTATGGACTTAGTTACTACAACGTTCACCACAATGCTAACAATGGAAAAAAATGTTTGTTTGGAATCACAGCAAAGAATGGAAGACAAATCTCTGCATCAGAGATAATGCTTGATGCCAAAATTTGTCTTTGATTAGTTGAGAGAGGACTTTCTGGGGCCGGCACCGTGGCTCACTTGGTTAATCCTCTGCCTGCGGCGCTGGTATCCCATATGGGTGCCAGGTTCTAGTCCCAGTTGCTCCTCTTCCAGTCCAGCTCTCTGCTGTGGCCTGGGAGGACAGTGGAGGATGGCGCAGGTGCTTGGGCTCCTGCACCCACATGGGAGACCAGGAAGAAGCACCTGGCTCCTGGCTTCAGGTTGGTGTAGTGCTGGCTGTAGCAGCCATTTGGGGAGTGAACCAACAGAAGGAAGACCTTTCTGTCTCTCTGTCTATAATTTTACCTGTCAAATTAAAAAAAAAAAAAAGGACTTTCTTCAATAAAATAGAATACTAATTATATGTGAAAATTAAGCTTAAATTTTGAGTCACTTACTGGGATCACAAGGTATTAGCCCAAATTTAATCACTGGGTAAAACTAATCTTTTGTGACTTTTAAAGTTAAAATATTTTGGGACTGGCATTGTGGCATAGGGGGTAATGCTGCTACCTGCGATGCTGGCATCCCACATAGGCACTCGTTTGTGTCTCAGCTGTTTCACTTCTGATCCCACTCCCTGCTAATGGTCTGGGAAAAGCAGCGGAATATGACCCAAGTATTTGGGCCCCTGCCAACCATTCGGGAGACCAGGAAGAAGCTCCTCGCTCCTGGCTTGAGCCTGGCCCAATGGAGGCCACTGCAGCCATCTGGGGCGTAAATGAATGGATGGAAGATCTCTTTCTATTTCTCTTTCTCTGTAACATTTTCAAAATAAATAAATAAATAAATCTCTTTTAAAAATAAAATAAAATTTTTTTGATCTAAAATGCTTCTTCCTTATTTTGACTAACAGGTTTTTTTTTAATAAAATGAAACATAATACATTCTGAATATACAGAATTACAGACAGCAAATTGTTCCAAATAACTAAAATGTTTTCATTGTGAGATAATATCTATTAGTGATTTTATATAAAGTCAAATTATCCTTTTTTAAAATTAAGAGGAAGAGACTCAGAGAGTGAGACAGATGGACAACCAAAGGGAATGCTGCCAACTGTTGGTTCATTCCCCAAATACCAGTGAAAGCTGAGGCACAGCTGGGAACTAAATCCTGGTTTCCTACTTGGATGGCAGGGACCCAAGTACACAAGTCATCAGCTGTTGCCTCTTGGAAAGTACATTAGCAGGAAGCTAGAATCAGGTGCTAGAGCCAATACTAGAACCTGGGAACTCCGAGCTGAGATGTGGGTGTACTTACCAGCATCTTTACTGTCAAATGCCAACCCCTAAAGTAAAAATTTAATATAAAAGCTAATTGATTAGTTTTTTTTTTTTTTTAATTTTAAGAGATTATCTGAGAGGCGAGAGAAACAGCAAGTTAAAGAGCTCTCCTATTTTGGTTCACTCACTAAATGCCCTTTATGACTGTGGCTGAGCCAGGGCTGAACCCAAGCATATAGTCCAGATCTTCTATGTTGGTGTTAGAAATCCAATTACTTGAACTATCCCACTGCTTCCCAGGGTCTGCACTGGCAGGAAGCTGAAGCTAGAAATGAAATCCAGGTACTCCCATGTGAGATGCAGATACTGTAATGCCTAGGATAAACATCTACTCTGAGAGTTAGGGTACTTTAATGTTAAGGAATTTAAGAATTTTCTTGGCATGAGTGAAATTCCTAATGCTTGACATGACTCTAGAGGAATAAAGACTGTTAGAAGATGAGAGGTAAAACTATCTCGAGAGAGGCTGTAAAACACAATTCATTGGCAGGACTGGTGCTGTGGCATAGTCGGTCAAGCCACCACCAGTGATGCTGGCATCCCATATGGGTGCTGGTTCGAGTCTTGGTGGCTCCACTTCCTATCTAGCTCCTTGCTAATGCACCTGGGGAAAGCACTGGAGGATGACCCAAGTCTTTGGGCCCTTAACGTTTGTGAGAGACTCAGAAGAAGCTCCTGGCTCTTGGCTTTGGTATGGCCTATTATGGCCATTTGGGAAGTGAACCAGCAGATGGAAGGTTTCTTTTCTCTGTTTTCTTCCCTTTTCTCTGCCTTTCAAATAAATAAAATAAATCCTTAAAAAAAATACCTGCAGTGGCACAACTTGCCAAGGTACAAGTATATGATATACTGTAAACAATGAAGTAATCAACATGCTTCCCAAACGTACTGCTTGGGAAAAGTTTTTCAGTATGAATATTCTCTGGTAGCAATAGAAGTGAGCAGAAAATTAAATTTGTTTTGTGGTTCAGTTTGGTCAAATCTATGAATTCTGTGAAGCAATAAATAACTGAATACTTCAAGGACACAGAGAGGATACTTCAGGAAAAAAATATATAGCCTAAAACAAAACAGTGATTTTTAAAAAGCAGTAAACAAAGAATATCGTTAATTATTAATTAGTTACAGACTAAAATATTTTTGGCACTTAATACTTAAATAAATTTGAAAGCAAGACTGTAAAAGATTATGTATTCTTTTGATATATTTGAATGAGAAGATGATTTAAAGCAGAAATTTAACTCTTAAAAAAATTTCGGATCTTTTAATTCATTATCTTCCAATTTCAGATGGGAGAGACAAAAGGCCTTGTCCTACTAGTTCATACAGCAGCTATAAACAAAAGTCCAAACAACTGGACCATTAAAAAAAAAAAGGCAATGACAGGCGAGAAGGGCAGTAGTTTCAATTGAAACCCAGAAGGAAGATATAACTATAGAAGTATTTAAATAAAAATCAAAAGACCATTGACAATGATTCTTATGGTTAGTTTTGCATGCTGACTACAGACCTTCTTTTTTTTTTTTTTTGCCAATTCATAGAAAATGTCTCTAGATTTTTCTCAAAATTAATTAAATCAAAAATTTCTCTGCAAATTTTAAAATGTACCTAGATTAAGTTGAAATGCCAAAGAAAAGTAATGAGAAACAAAATTGCAAAATGGGTAAGTGAAAGGTTAATGTAACATATATTAAGACTGGAATCTTTTTCCATTACTTCTTTTCAGTCAGCAAGCACTGGTGGCAAAAAAAAACTTTACTATGACTTGGTATTAACTTCTAAAAAGGCTACTTTTAGTCATCCACTTATAGTCTAGTAAGTTTTCAATGCTGCGAATCAGCAAGTTTTCTTTAATTAAAAAAGAAAACACAGGTTCAAGGGTAAAAAAATTTAATGACCAAATTATCTCAACATTTACCAAGTTCATTCCAAGTGTGCTCTTTGGAGACTACTGAGGTTGAACTAAAATATTCTCACCTCAAACCAGTTTATGTTTATCTGATCTCTAACAAAATTTTATATAGGTATTGTACCACTGTTTATCAGCATTTCGTGGCACTGATACAAGCAGAAACCTGACTTCCCAGACAAATATTTACCTAAATAAACTAGCAAACCACTGAACAGCCAGAATGGGAGAAGAGAGCAGTGGAGAACCAAACCAGGTGTGAAACACAATACAAGCCAAAAATTAACATTTGCGAATAGAAAGCTAGTGGTCATGGTAACATCTGTTAACTTGGTAAATCTTTTTACATCACCTAACACTTAAGAATGTCTCAATGAAACACTCACAGAACAATATAATAAAATAATCTCCTAACTGGAATGACTGTACGTAACTGGAATAAAAAAAATTTTTTTTTTTCGAAAGGCTTTTGTTTCTTCCGGAAACTCCAGTTTGAAAAGAAACAAATTACGGTTTCTAGTAAAGCACATTTTCAGTAGCTAAAGGAGGACAGGCAGACTCTGCGGCGGTATACGCCCCCCAAAAACAAAATATAGGTTATTCACTGTAGGAAAATGCCTACAATCTCACGTTCTGGGACTAAGAGTCGTACATCAAAACTGTAAAGGACACTCCGGGTACTGGGTTAAGATCTCAGAGGCCAAACAGCCCTCTTAGGAACAACTTTTAAGGGGAAAGGTTCCCCAGGGGCTGTGCGTGTGTGTATAATACCTGTGTGCGAACGTAAGAGAGGAGGAAGGCGCATCCGCAGCGCGACTGTGTGGGCAGGGTAGTGTGTAACGCTTCAAGGAAGGCTTCTGGTGGAGGCAGTGCTACAGCGTTCTCCAAGGGCTAGATAAATTAAGGGCGCCTGGCAGGGCTCTGCGGCGGCTTCATCCACGGGGTGGGAGTGTCGGGAGCAAGGTCTAGTGCAACAGGACCGGGCAGGTGATCGTATTATCCCTAACATCCACATAGCGTGCCCAAGAAATCTACCAATGAACGAACAAACGCAGCGCAAAAGCAGCTTTGGCTTGGGGGAGGCAAGCGCTTGCAGAGAGGTTCTGGGCAGGGACAAAGCAAAGAAAAACCTCGGGCTAGGGCTGAAACCTTAGTGCCACCAAGAGAGATGGCTGCGGGGTTCGCGGAGGCACTGACCAGAGAGAACTCGGTGCCGGGCCAGTTGACTCGGAAAGGGATATCATCGCTGAGCGGGGGGAGCGCTCGGCCGCCGCCGGACGCCTCCAGGAGGCCGCAGAGGACCAGTAACACCGGCCCGCCGGGAACCAGACTCCGCGCGCCGCCGCCTCCTTCCTCCATCCTCCGCCGCCGCTTTCTCCAGCCGCCGCCACAGCCTCCTCTGCCCTAAGAGAAGAGGAGGAGGAGGAGGTGGAGGAGGAGGAGGAGGCGGCGGGACTACAAAGCACCCAGGGAGCCCGGGGCCCAACCGCCGCCACGTCTCCTTCCGGAGAACCGGCCAACACCGCCTCCGCCCCCTCGGACCTCCCGCCAGCGTTTCCGGGGCAGGCGGAAAATCAACATCCGGGGCCGCGGAGCCGTCCCCCTACGGAAGCCGGGACGCCGCCCGCGCCTCTCTCGTTTCCGACAACCGTAGGTTTTTCGTGGGGGAATCGAATGCGGTGGCCTTTTGGGCCAGAACGCCCGGAGACCCGGCCTTGGAGCAGGCTTTCCCCCTGAGAAGTGGCGGCCCAGCGAGCCGGTGAGTCCCGGAGGCGGCAAGCGCTCCCTCCCGCCGCCCCGCGCCGCTCTGCCAGGGGTGGGCGGCGTCCTGGCCTGCAGGGCTGTGAGCGCCGCGAGGGTGCGAGTGGTCCTTTAGGTGAGATTGTTGGAGGTATCGGTGAGGAGTGACTAGGGGCGGTGTTCTTGACTGAGCTGCCCTCGCTGCTTTTTCTCTTCCCATTTCTTCTCGTTTCCGTACTTCATCTTTCCCGCCCGAAGCTTCTGTCCGCCTCTTCTGGGTGCGCTGTGGGCATCTGGATACTTAGCAGCTCCGACTAACCCGAGGGTGTGTTCAACCTCTGCAGACGCGAGCTAGGGCCAACCCGGGCTGAGGGACTCCCTGCATGCCTCACTGGGGGTGCTGCAAGGTTGGCCTGGACGGAGACCTGGTCAGGCGGGCGACTTGGACCGCGCAACCCGGCGTGGGGCCCCTCCATCCCTGAGCTGATCAACGGGAAACGGCTCCGTTGTTCGGTCCAGGAAGCTGATGGGTTCCTTATGTGGAGTCAGAGCCTGTGACTTGAATGACACAAACACTGCCAGGCAGAGGTCCTGAGGCAAGGCTGGGCGGGTGTTAGAGGGACACAAAGAAGGCCAGCGGCGGCTGGAGTGAGGGAGGACAGTGGTAGGAGATGAAGTTTGAGGGACAGTAAGAGGCCAGCCGGACGCAGCCTTGCAGGCAGGAGGGTGACGTGAGCCGATGTATATTTGTGAAGATCATTATGACTGCTCTGTGAGAAATTGGTTATTGGGGGTGTGTGTGTGCTGTAAATTGCGTTCCCCAAAAAGATAACGTTGACGTGCTAACCCCTAGCACCTGGTAGTGTGAACGTATTTGAAATAGCGTTTTCGCAAAAGTAATTCAAGTTAGATGAGGTAGTGTTGTTCAGAATATGAGGGCTCTAATCCAGTGTCTAGGGTCTTTATAAGAAGAGGGAAATTCGGACACAGATACTGTCAGAAGGAGAATGCCAAGTAAGGAAAGAAGAAGAGATTGGAATGATTCCTCTACCAGCCATAGAACACTGAGGATTGCTGGCAACCACCACAAGCTAGAAAGAGGCCCTAGAACACACAGAGAGTGAGAAAGGGAGAGAGAGGGGGGAGAGAGAGAATGGCCTTGCTGATTTCAGACTTAATTTCCAGACCTGTAAATATTCCATTTCTGTTGCTTTATGCTACCCAATTTGTGGTAATTTGTTATAGTAGCCCTAGAAATCTAAAACAGGGTCAAGACCCAGGGAGACCCTAGGAGACCATTTAGGATGGTAGCAGTGGCGATGCAGAGGAATGACATGATTTGGAACATGTTTTGTAGGTATAGCATAGTGAATTTGCTGGTAGATTGGATGTGCTACAATTGGACAAGAATGTGTCAGTGATGATGGCTAGGTTGTTTTCCTGAGTAGCTAGTGGTGCAATTTACTGGAAGAGGGAAGACAGATAAAGAAACAGAATGTGGACTGATTAGATTCAAATGTTTTTATTTTACTTTATATTTTGAAATAATTTCAAACTTACATAAAAATTGTGAGAATTGCACAAAAAATTCCCAGATTCCTCAGTTATTAACATTTTACCTGAAATGTGTGCTCTATCACCCACTTTTTTTTTTTTAAAGATTTATTTATTTATTTGAAAGGCAGAGTGACAGAGAAATAGGGAGAGACAGAAAGAGGCTGAAGGGGGTGGGGTAAACTTCATCTGCTGGTTCATTCCCCAAATGACTGCTAGGCATGGGCCAGACTAAAGCCAGGACCCAGGAACTCCATCTTGCTCTCCTACATGGGTTATAGGGGCACAAGTACTTGGGACATCTTCTGCTCTTTTCCCAGGTGCATTAGCAGGGAGCTGGATCAGAAGCAGAGCAGGCAGGACTTGTACACAGTTGGAGTCTTAACCTGCTACGCCACAATACTGGCCTCAACGCTATTGATTTTTGTATATTGACTTTGTATTTTGCAACTTTGCTGGATTTATTAGTTTTAACAATTTGTTGGTGGAATGTTTAGGATTTTCTGTATATTATTAGATCATATCATCTGCAAACAGTGAACAGTGTTGACTTATTCCTATCCAATTTAGATACCCTTTCTTTCTTTCTCTTGCCATAGTCCTTCCAGTACTATGTTAAATAAAAGGTGGCATCCTCTTCTTGATCAAGATCTTAGGCATAAAGTGTTCTGCTTTTTTTTTTTTTAAAGATTTATTGTATTTATTAGAAAGGCAGAGTGACAGAGAGAAGGAAAGACAGATTTTCGATCTGCTGGTTCACTTCCCAAATGGCTGTAATGGCCAGGGTTAGGCCATGCTGAAGCCAGGAGCATAGAACTCCATCCGACTCTCCCATAATGGTGGCAGGGGCCCAAGTACTTGGATGTTTTCCACAGCTTTCCCAGGCATAGTAGCAGGGAGCTGGATTGGAAGCAGAACAGCCAGGACTCCAATTGGCATTCCCATATAGGGTGATGATGTCCCTGGGAACTACTTAACCCATTGTGCTACACCACCAGCCCTAAAAGCCTTCAACTTTTTCACATTCAGTATGTTGTTAGCTTTCTCTTGTTATATATGGCTTTTGTTATGTTGAGGTTTGTTTCTTCTCTACATATTTTTTTCAAAGTTTTTATCATGTAGGGATGTTGACTTTTATAGAGTACCTTTCTTGTGTCTATTGGGATGATCATACGGTTTTTGTCTTTCATTCTGTTGATGTGATATATCACACTGATTTCTGTGTATGTTGCATCATCCTTGCATCTCTGGGATGAATCCCATTTGATCATTGTGATCTTTTCATAATGTTGTTGGATCAATTTGGTGGTATTTTGTTGAGGATGCCTATATTTTTGTTCATTGAGAATATTGACCTGTAGTTTTCTTTTTTTGTTGTGTTGTGTCCTTAACTGGTTTTCATATCAAGATAATGCTGGCCTCCTAAGATGAATTCTCTTCTCTTTTGTTTCTGAAATAATTTAAGAAGAATTGGTGTTAATTCTTCCTTAAAAGTCTGGTGGGGGGTCTAGTGCTGTGGCGTAGGAGGTAAAGCTACTGCCTGTGGTGCTGGCATCCCATGTGGCTGCCGGTTTGAGTCCCAGCTGCTCCACTTCCCATCCATCTCCCTCCTAATGCACCTAGGAAAGCAGTGCCTGGGCCCTGTACCAATGTGCGAGACCTGAAAGAAGTGAGTCATCCCAGTGCCTGCTGGCCATTTGGGGAGTGAACCAGAGTAGGGAAGATAACTCTGTCTCTGCCTCTCCTTCTCTGTAACTCTGATTTTCAAACCAAATAAACCTTAAAAAAAAGTTTGATAGGGGTCTGGCGTTGTGGTATAATGGGTAAAGCTACTGCCTTTTGATGCTGGAATCCCATATGGATACTGATTCTGGCTGCTGTACTTCCAATTCAGCTCTCTGCTAATGCTCTTGGAAAGTAGAGGAAAGTGGCCCAAGTGCTTGGGGCCCAGCACGCACATGGAGACCCGGAATAAGCTCCTGGCTCCTGGCTTCAGCCTTGCCCAGTCCTACTTGTTGCATCCATTTGGGGAGTAAACCAGCAGATGGAAGATCGCTCTGTGTCTCTTCCTCTCTGTGTAACTCTGTCTGTCAAATAAATAAGCTTTTTTTTTTTTAAAGTTTGGTAGAATTTAGCAGTGAAACCATCTGGTCTTGGACTTTTCTTTGCTGATTCAGTCTTGCTACTTGTTATTGGTCAATTTCTATTTCCTCCTTATTACATACTGGTAAGGTATATGTGTCTAAGAATTTGTCAATTTCTTCTAGATTATCAAATTTGTTTCCATATAATTATTCTTAGTAATCTCTAATAATCCTTTGTGTGTACCTGTTTTCATCTCTGATTCTATATATTTGAATTTTTTTTAAGATTTATTTATTTATTTGAAAGTCAGAGTTGCACAGAGAGAGAAGGAAACGCAGAGAGAGAGAGAAAGTCTTCCATCTGCTGGTTCACTCCCCAAATGGCCGCAATAGCCAGAGCTGCGCCAATCCGAAGCCAGGAGCCGGGAACTTCTTCCGGGTTTCCCACGTGGGTACAGGGGCCCAAGGAGTTGGGCCATCTTCTACTGCTTTCCCAGGCCACAACAGAGAGGTGGATCAGAAGTGGAACAGCTGGAACTCGAACCAGTGCCCATATGGGATGCTGGCAATGCGGGCAGTGGCTTTACCTGCAATGCCACAGCACCAGCCCCTTGAATACTCTTTTTGGTTGGTCTAAGAATTTATCATTTTTATCTTTTCAAAGAACTAGCTCTTTGTTTCATTGAATTCTTTTTTTTTACCATTTTAAAAATCTCTATGCCATTTATGTGTGCTCAGTGGTTTTTAAAAATTAATTAATTAATTAGAGTTAGAGAGAGGGAGAGACAGAGAGCAAGAGACTTCTGTCTGCTGGTTTACTCCCCAGATGGCTGCAACAGACAGGGCTGATCCAGGTTGAAGCCAAGAGCCAGGAGCTTCAAACGGGTCTCCCACATGGGTGCAGGGGCCCAAGGACCTGGGCCATTCTCCACTTTCCCAAGTGCATCAGCAGGGAGCTGTATTGGAAGTGAAGCATCTGGGACTCCAACTGGCACCCGTATGGGATGATGGTGATGGGCGGCTTTACCTGCTGTGCTACTATGCGGGCCCCATGTGCTGTGAGTTTTATTATGTTAGGGTGTAGCAAGTGAAAGGAGAGATAGGACACAGGAACTCTTCCTCTGA